GCTGCATTTGAGAAAGATGTCTCCAGCTGCTCTGCAGAGGTTGGACTGGATGGAAAAGGCTGGAAGCAGGGAGCCCATGTTGGAACTCAGAGGCTCCCAGGAAAGGTCAGAGTTCAGCAATGATCCACAAGGTCACAGCTCTGATCTCGCCTCCTACTCTTCTACCCTCCGGCACACTCTGCTCCAACCACATTGACACCTGGATCAGGCACGCTCCTGTCCCAGGGCTTTAGCACTGCTTTCCTCCCCACCCAGAGCACTCTTCCCCCCACATCCGGCATGCCTGTCTCCCTCCCTTTCTGCAGGTCTTTGCTACTCCTTTGCTTTTCACCGTTCTTGACCAGCCTGGTTAAGCCCCGCACTCCCCTCCTTCCCGGCAGAACTTTTCTCCACAGTGTCATCCAAAAACCCCTTATATCAGGCTGGCACACACCTCTAATCCCAGCACTTTGGGAGGCTGAGGTGGGTGGATCACTTGAGGTCAGGAGTTCGAGACCAGCCTGTCCAATATGATAAAACCCCATCTCTACTAAAAATACAAAAAATTAGTTGGGCATGGTGGCAAGCGCCTGTAATCTCAGCTACCCAGGAGGCTGACAAAGGAGAATTGCTTGAACCTGGGAGGCGGAGGTTACAGTGAGCCAAGATCACGCCACTGCCCTCCAGCCTGGGTGACAGAGCAAGACTCATCTCAAAAAAAAAAATTACATCATAATTTGATCTTGTCATTTCATCCATAAGCACTTCAGTATGTGTTTCTAAAAGATAAAGATTTTAAAACATAGTCAAAATAGCATTGTGACACCTAAACAACAGCATTCATTCCTCAATAGCATCACATAGTCAGTTAGCATTCATCTTTCTTTCCCTGATTGTCTTACAGTCTCATGATTTCTTTCTCATGGTTGTTTTGGTCTAATCTGTATCTGTTTATTTTTTAATGGTCTTGCTTTTTTGCCTACTGGAATATCGGTGCCATGAGAGCTGGGATTTTTGTTTTGATCTCTGCTGTGTCCCCAGCACAGTGCTCAGCACATAGTAGGTGCTCAATAAATTCCACTGAATGAACATACACAACGAATTATGATAATAAAAGCTTATGATTGACCCGTTGGGCATTATGTATCTGTTACTGTTATTTGCCATAATTATCTCATTGAATCCTTACAATTTCCTTAGGGGCAGGTGCTGTGATTAGGTCCATTTTACAGATGAGGAAACAGCAATGTGACCTAAAGACTGACAGCTGGGAAAAAAAAAGGCCAAGGCTTAAGATCCATTGCACAGCCTGGGTGTCTGTGACCACTGGTGGAGGCAGGGAGGTTGTGGCTTCCCAGAAGCTGCCTCCACACTTTATATCCAGAGTCCAGCCACTTTTCACCGACTTCCCTGCCACCACCTTCTTTCTAAGCTATCATCTTTCTTCTCTTGCCTGGAATAATGCAATATTCTCCTAGGTATCGGCTCATCCCTTCTTTCTCGAATGCCCGTTCTCCAAAAGACATCCAGTGGGTAGAGGCCAGGGACACTGCCTAAACACCCTCCATGCACAGGACAGCCCCACAGCAAAGAATTCTCCATCCCCCAAAATCAGTAGCACTAAGGTTGAGAAACTGGACTCTGGTTGAAAAACCAGACACATTCTTCATCCAGAACCTGGCAGAAGCAGCTGAGAGTCAGACTTCTAGCAATGTGTTAGTCATAAGCGCGAAAGGCCCAAAGTTTGTAAACAAATTCCTTTTTCATCAATTAGTATTCTCAGTATCTCTAGGATACATTGTCATTCATTCCTTCAATGGACGTATTTCATGCCTGCTCTATGGTAGGCACTGAAGATACAACAGTGAACAAAACACACAAAACCCTTGCCCTTTGAAGCTTATATCGAAGTAGGGGAGAGAGAAAGGAATCATGCAATTAAATAATTATACATCAGGTCGAGATAAATAAAGCAGCCACAGGGAATGAATAGTGCTATTTTATATATCATGGTCAAGGATGGCCTTGCTGAGATGACATTTCAACTGTGACTTGAACAATGTTGAAGGGTGAGTCTTGTGGCATCTGCAGGAAGACCAGACCAGGCAGAAGGGAGGGACAGTAAGTGCCAGGGCCCTGAGGTGAGAGGGTCCCTAGAACAGCAAGAAGGGCACTGTGGGTGCAACAGAGTGATAGAGAGGGAGAGTGATAGTGAAGGAGGCTGTAGGGTCCTGGGAAAATGGAGAAGATGCCAGATCATGGGCCCTATGAGAGGGACTGAGGACTTAGGCTTTTTCTCTGAGTGAGGCAGGAGCATAGGCGGGTTTTGGGCAGGGGCATGAGTTGCTGTATGTGTAGACAAGACTGGGGATGGGAGGCTGGAGGCAGCAGATGGGACTGGAGGCTCCTGCAATGGTCCGCGAGGGAGAGAATGGGGTCAGGAAGACAGCGGTGGGGTGGCAAGAAGTGGCTACAGCCTGGACACGTGTCACTCACACTTGCATCTCACTGGTCTCACTCGCATTCTGTGATGCTGTACTGAGCGGAAGAGGAAGGGGTGAGCCATGCTGAGTGTGGCACAGATCGCCCCTTATCCCAGCAACAATAACAGCCGCTGCTCCAGACAGGACTCCCTCTGTTCCCAGCACTCTACACAGTGCTCCGCATCTTAGCACCTCTGATTCCCGCCATCCCATGTTGTCTTCTGTGGCTGGGCTTCCTGGCCCTTCCTGGCCCTTCCCACAACTGATGTGGGGAACATGGGGATAGCCCCATGCAACGGATGAACTTGGTTCCTCATCTTACATACCACATGCAGAGACCTAAAAGTAAGACCTACGACTATCAAACTCTCAGAAGAAAATAGAGGAAAAGGCTTTATGATTTCCCCCTATTGCCAAAGATTCCTTGACTATAATACCAAAACACAGGCAACAAAAGTAAAACAGACAACGAAATGAAGACTTCTGTGTATTGAAGGACAAAATCAATAGAGAGCAAAGACAACCAACGGAATGGGAGAAAATATTTGCAAATCGTGTTAGCTTATTAGGGATTAGTATCCAGAACATATAAAGAATTTTACAATTTCAATAACAACAGCAAAAAAAAACCCAATTTTAAAATAGGTAAAGTACTTGGGTAGACATTCTCTCCAAAGAAAATACTAGTAATCCCCCCTTATCAGCAATATCACTTTCCAAGGTTTCAGTTGCCTGCACCCAGCTGTGGTCCAAAAATATTACAGATGATAAGGTATTTGAGAAGAGAGATCACTTTCACATAACTTTTATTATAGTATTTTGTTGTAATCTATTTTATTATTAGTTATTGTTGTTAATCTCTTACCTTGACTAATTTACAAATTAAACTTTATCGTAGGTATTATGTTGTAGGATATATAGTGTTTGGTGCTATCTGAGATTTGGGCATCCTGGAAAAGGGGTGCTAGTGTATAGAAATGGCCAAAAAAACACATGAAAAGATGCTCAGCATTCACTAATCATTGGGGAAATGCAAACCAAGATGCAATGAGATACCACCCTCATGCCCATTTGAAAGCTATTAAAAAATTAAAATGTACACAAACAAATAGCAGCATTGACAAGGTGTTGATATAGTGACTATTGGTCCCCACCAAATTTCATGTTGAAATGTGATCCCCAGTGTTGAAGAGGGGCCTGCCTAGCGGGAGGGCTTTGGGTCATGGGGGTGTATCCCTCATGGATGGCTTGATGCCCTCCCTACGGTAATGAGTTCATGTGAGATCAGCTTGTTTAAGAACCTGGCTTCTCTCTTCCTCCCTCTCCCTTTATGTGACACACGTGCTCCCCCTTTGCCTCTGCATGACTGCAAGCTTCTTGAGGCCCATCAGAAGCAGATGCCACACTATGCTTCTGGTACAGTCTGCAGAACGTGAATGTATAAAGAACTCTCTTCTTTATAAATTACCAGCCTCCAGTTTTTCTTTTATAGCGATGGACTGATACAGATATGGAGAAATTGGAACCCATGGACACCACTGATGGGAATGTAGAATGGTACCAGCCACTATGAAAACAGCACAGCAGCTCTTCAAAACATTCAAAACAGAATTACCATATGATTCAGCAATTCTACTTCTGGGTATATACCCAAAAGAAGTTTTAAAAATTCTAGTCGGTCTCTGCTTATCCAAACCCAGAAGAATTGAAATCACGAACTCTAAGAGATATCTGACCCCCTGTGAACAGCAGCATTATTCACAACAGCCAAGAGGCTGAAGCACCAAGTGTCTGTCGATGGATGAATGGGTAAACGAAATGTAGTGTATATATACAATGGGAAAGTGTTCAGTCTTTAAAAGGAAGGAAATTTTGACACACTACAACATGGACAAAGCTGGAGGACATTATGATAAGTGAAATAAGCCAGTCACGAAATGCTGTATGATTCCACTTATATCAGGTACCTAGAGCAGTTCAGTTCAAAGGGGCAGAAAGTAGAAGGGGGGTTGCCAGGGCCTAGGATGCAGGCCTAGGAGATAGCATTTAATGGCCACAGAGTTTCAGTTTTGCAAAATGAAAGGTTCTGGAGATTGGTTGCACAACAATGTGAATATATTTTACTGAACTATACATTTAAAACTGGTTAAGACGGCAAATTTCAGGTTATGTGTATTTTACCAGAACTAAAAGAAACCACTTAGAGGGTGTGTTTCAATTGTGGGGCCTAGGCATGAGTATTTTGCAAAGTCCAGGTGATCCTGATGTGCAGCCAGCACGGAGAAGTGCTACTGTGTGAGGTGCCCCAGGTATTATCCCCACCTCCCAGTCTCAGAGAGGATTGGAGGCTCATATAGCCAGGAAGCAGAGGAGGTGGGATTTGAACCCAGGCCCACAGAAGTGTGTCTCACATGGCAACGTCATGTCTTGTTTGTTATTTCTGTCATCAGAGAAAACATTTAAAGAGAATTGGCACCCTGGATATTAACATGAGAATTCTAGTTCCCACCCCACCCACTACCAATACAGAGGCCTGAGAGATTCCTCCCAGTCCCCGGCCCCACCTAGTCATGCCCACTCCTGCCGGAGACACCAAAATCAAGATGACGTCACCTCAGGGAAAAGGTGGGACTGTATGCATCTATGAAAATAATGCTTAATGCTAAATCTGTGTCTCCGATAGTCCCATCCAGGAGCTTTTTGGGGTAAAGTCATCCTAGACCCAGAGCTAGGAACACTCTCAAGTTATCCGATTCTGGAAAAATCTCTTACCTCTCAGCATTGCCCCAGCATGAGAAGGGAACACTGGGATCTTGCTTCTCACTTTCTGAAGGTCACTCATACAACACAGAGGTCAAAGTCGTGGGCTGGGCAGTCAGGGAGTCCTGGGTGGGATCTGTCCCAGCCTTCTATTCACTGTGTAACTCTGGGCCAGACGCTTCCCCTCTCTGAGCCTCAGTTTCCATGTCTGTCAGATGAGGATAGTTATCCCTCCCTTATGAGGGGGCTGCGAAAATCAGGTGTGAAGGGCATTTAATGCCCTTTGCACTGTGCCAGGCAAGCACATTGTAAGCACTCAGTGTTAGCTGTTGCTGCCACTGCTGTGCTTTTCATTTTATCCAAGAGACGGAGATGAGGCTGACTGTGCCCTGCCAGACCTGGAATTTCTTCTTTTATGACAACTCCCAAGAGAAGTTGTCTCTATCGGGGGCTGTCTATAATACAGCAGCAGGCCATTCTGAATAAATGAGGCGTCCCACAGAGCTTTGGTTGGTTCCCCCACACCCAGATCCTAAGACAAGATTCTGAGTACAAGTGGCTTATATGATAAGTGATCCCAGAAAACTCTGAAGGGGAGAGGGAACATGAGACAGGGATGGGAAAGAGGTCAAACAGGGTCTGTTGTCAAGCAAGTAATTGCTGTGAGCAACTGGAGCTGCTCTGGGGACCAGTGTAGAACAGACACCTCTGAGTTATACCCCAGCCAGGGCAGAAGCACATATACACCTTCCCCATCAGCCAGGAGTTGATATCCCATTAGTTCCTGCTGGGGTGTTAGTGCCCTGCCTTTACCGGACTCCAGTGGCCAGAGAAAGCCTCTAGCCTTACAATGAGCAGGTATCATTTTATAAGAGCAATTTTTTTTAAAAGCAATTTTTTTTCTCTTATTTATCTTGCAGGGTTGTCAGGAGGATTACATGAGAGGACAATAAAGAAACAAAACAAAAAATCCCAACCATTATTGAGGGCTTTCTATGTGCCAGGCCCTAGTCTAAGAGCTTTGTATACATTAACTCGTTTAACTCAATCCAGCGAGGCAAACACAGTGATTGGCCCAAAATTGCTGTTGGCTGAAGGAAGCAGGACACAGAAAGCTGCAATAGTTGACCCAAATCACATGGTTAGTGAGAAGAGGGGCCAAACACTGAACTTGGGCAATCCAGCACTAAGGTCAAGCGCTTCCCATCCTGACGATGTTATCAAGTATGGGAAGTACACAAAGGGCTGGGTGTGGAGTTGGTGCCTAATGCATGCTTGTTCTCTTCCAGTTAATTAAGCTTTGGCCAACCTGCTCATTTGACCAGCTCTTTTTCTTCCTAAGCATTTCACATTCACACAGCAAGTTGGTGAAGGATCAGGGGCCATTCTCAGGCCTTTTTAGCCCCATCACCAGTACCAGCTGATGCTCAGGGATCTTGCTGTTACTTCAGGTGTTGACCAGGATCATCTCTTGGCATCTGGTCTCTCAGGGGGTCTGAAAGGCAATGATGGTCTGTGTGGTCCCAGGCAGGTCACTGGAGCATCCTGGGCCTCTGGGTGTCTTTATCGAGAGGGGAGGCAGGGTTTATCAGGCACAGCTTCAACACTCATCATCACTATCATCCTTCATCCTTCAGACAACCCTGTGGAATGGGTTTTATTGTCACCCTCACTTACAGATTAGGAAATGGAAGTGATGAGAGGTGAAGCAAATTGGCCAAAGTCCACAGCTAGGACAAGACTGGGCTGGGACTCAAAGCCAGGTCTGTGTGACCCCACAGCTGGGATGCAGAATAGCCGGCATATTATCTGCCAGGATAAAAACACGCATCTGGGTTGACAAAGCTGGGGCCAGCAAGAGCCTAAGCAGATGACTCATCACACTGAAGAGGCCCCATGGATTCTGAGTTGGTTCCCTCATTTCTTCTGATGATAATACACAGATCTTTGTGGCTCAGGTCAAGGAATCTGGAACCTCATTACACTAGAGACGTGTAGCTGGAGCAGAGGAATTCAGTGACAACACTAATAATCGTTGCTGCCACTTACTGAATGCTCCCCATGAGTTGGGTGCTGGGCTGGGCTCTTTGCATTAGGGACATCTCCTAACGGCCCATCATGGTTGCCTCCATTATAATTCTCATTTCCTAGACAAGGAAACTGACACGCAGAGAAGGAAAGGGGCTTGTCCAAGGTCATATTCGTGGTAAGCAATGGAGACAAGAAATCAAATGCATCTGTTGGACTCCAGAGCTGATTCTTAATCAAGTCTGTGATGGGAAAAATATTGACCACTGTTCCTAAACAAAGGCCACTCTAAGCTGGGCATGATGGCTCCCACCATTAATCCCAGTGCTTTGGGAGGATTAGATGGGAGGATCACTTGAGCCCAGCAGTTTGAGACCAGCCAGGGCAATGTAGCAAAACCCTCTCTCTACCAAAAAAAATGTTAATGTAGCTGGGAATGATGGTGTGCACCTGTAGTCCCAGTTACGCAGGAGGCTGAGGCAAGAGGATCACTTGAGCCCAGGAGTTTGAGGTTACAGTGAGCTATGACTGCACCACTGCACTCCAGCCTGGGTGACAGAGTGAGACCCTGTCTCTAAAAAAAAAAGAAAAAAGTCAAAAAATCAAAAGTAAATAAATAAAGGCCACTCCACCTTTTGAATACAATAATAATTCATGCTTATAAATTACTTTCCATTTACAAATTACATTCACATCAGAAATCTGATTGAATCATCAAAACAGCCCTGAAACGGAGCCATGACTATTATTACCATCGGGCACATGAATTCACTCAAGCCCAGAGAGCTAAAATGATCCACCCAAGGTCCCAGGATTTAGAAACACAGGCTTAGGGACCAGACAAACTTGAGTTCAAACCTTGGCTCTGCCATTTTCATTCCTTCAACAACTATTTACTGAGAACATAGCTGTGTGGGCTCAGGCAAGTGACTTCACCTCTCAGAGCCTCCATTTCCTCTTCTATGAAAGAGGCTTTGTACCACTCATCAAATTCATTCCTTCCCTCATCTGAAAATGCCAGACACTTGCTTTCTCGGGTTCCCCCACAGCTAGAGCATGAGCATGTGACCTGTCCTGGCCAATGGGATTTTAAAAGAATTCTGCTACAGTGCTCCTGGGAAAGGGTTTCCTCTCAGAAAAAAAGAGAAAGTGGCCCAGGCACTGTGGCTCACAGCTGTAATCCCAGCACTATGGGAGGCCAAGGTGGACAGATCACTTGAGGTCAGGAATTTGAGACCAGCCTGGCCAACATGGGTGGAACTCCGTCTCTAATAAAAATCAGAAAATTAGCCGAGCATGAAGGTGTATGCCTGCAATCCCCAGCTACTCAGTAAGAGGCTGAGGCAGGAGAATTGCTTGAACCCAGGAGGCAAAGGTTGCAGTGAGCTGAGATCATGCCACTGCACTCCAGCCTGGGTGACAAAGTGAGACTCCATCTAAAAAAAAAGAAAAGAAAAGAAAGTGGAGCATAGGAGAAAATGCCTCCCTTCATGGGTTAAACATCACTGAATTTACATCTGAGGGCTGGAACTGGGCAGCCATCTTGTGATATGAAGCATCAAGCATGAGGATCAAGCCACTTGCAGGGGTTAGGGAACAGAGGAGCAGAGAGATGAAAAGAATCTAGAATCCTGGTGGCATCATTGAGCCATTAACTCAATCAAAAACCAGCTATCTTAGAAATTCATATTATGTTAAATGATGCATCTTCCTCCTTACTGAAGCTGCTTTGAGTTTTCTATTCTGCTACTTGCAGCCCAAAGCATGCCTAACCGGTATACTAACTGCTTGTATTGTTGGAGGAATTTCAATGAGGTAGCAGAAATAAAGTACCATTAATCAGTGCTGAGCACAACAAATATCAGCTACTCTGGAAATTAGGAAGTTATCTCAGGGCTTTAACCCTGCGACTATCCCAGGGATCACAGACATGCCTGAGCTGGCAAATCAGTTCCCTGTCTCTTACTGAGAAATCCTGTCCAGTTTTCCAAGAAAGCCAAAACCCCTTGGTATCCCCAGCATCGCAACCCTATCACCCTGATGGGGCTGACCCCTTCTTCTAAACAAGACTCAATCACACTGTGTTTTGCCTAATGGGTTTTGAATTTCGCTCCCCTGATGGCAAAACCTGGGGCCTGTGCTTTGGTTTGCCTCCAAGTTGCCAGAACACCCCATCAATTATTAACGGCGTCAGCTCAGTCTCCCTGGCACTGCTGCTGTCAGAAGGAAAGGGTTTGCAGCAACTCGGCCCACCCAGCCCTAGAAAAAGGACTCTTTTCCTTTGCATTTATAAAAACAGTCCCCACCTGCTACGTGCTGGGCTCTGAGCAAAATTTCGACAAATGTGATTTCATGAAGACTCTGCAAGGTGAGCCTTTTATCTCCATTTTACAGGTGGAAGGTTGGGACTTGGAAAGTTGGAGAAACTGCCTAAAGCCAAAAACTAGGGAAGTGGGGAGCGGCGCAGAACCAGATCCGTCCTTGCTCTTCAGCAGATGAGATACGGCCACTTTTGTACCTTACAACCACCCGGAAATGAGCCTCCATTTAGTCCTGTCAGTCTGTGAGTGCTAAGAAATTTCCACAGGCCTTGCTTATTTTGACAAGCAAGACATCCAAGCTGGGGGGATGGGTGGGGATGGGGTGGGCAAAGTGCAGATGACAGAAAGGAGGTGAGAGGCACAGGGACCTGGGTTGCAGGTGGGCAGTGAGAAGGGGTGACAGGTCCCCAAACCCTGAATGACTGACTGATTGCTTGCTTCATTAATTAGTTCATTCATTCATTCCACCTACAGTTATTTGGAGCTCCTCAGTGCCAGGCACCATGATGGGTGCTGGGAATCAAGCAGTGAATCAATTCATGGCACTCAAATTCTTGTGGGTGTGAAACAGAGAAACACGAAGAAGCAGATATAATTTCAGATGGTGCTTAAGGCCTCTGCAGGAAAGACAACGCCTGATGCAACAGAGAGTGAGAGGAGGGAAACTGTTTTGAACAGCGGTCAAGGAAGGTCTGTCTGAGGAGGGGACATGTGAGCAGGGACCTGATCAAATGAGGAAGGGGAAGAAGGGGTGGACCAAGGGGGGATCTGGGGAAGAGCATTCCAGGCAGCAGGAACAGCAAGTGCAATGGTCCTGAGGCCAGATAAACCCCGGCCTGTTTATGGAACAGCAAGGCCAGTGGGGCTGGAGCCGAGTGAAACAGAGATCAAAAGAGATGAGCTCAGAGAGGTCGTGGGGCCAGATTCTGCTGGGGCCTTGTATGCCAGAATGAAAAGTCTGGATTTTATTTTGAGTGTGATGGGAAACTTCTGGAGGATCTTAAGCAGATGAATAATGTGAGCCAATTTACATTTTGAAAAGCTCACTTTGGCTGCTATGTGGGGAATGGATTGCAGGGGCAAAAGTGGAAGCAGAGAGACTGGGGAGAAGACTGCGGCACTTAATCATTATGGAAAAAACACCCGGGTTTGGATTTCTGGCTACTCCTGTCTGCCTGTGGTGTGACTTTAGGCAAGTTACTTAACCTCTTTGAGCCTCGCTGTTTGCGAAAGGTGGGATAATAACAGAGTTGTGTTGTTAGACTCCATACACAGTAGATGTTTGATCAATGGCAGCCAGGATTTCTATTCTGAGGGCCAGTGAGCCTGTCTGCCTCCCCATTTCAGCTCTGGCTGCAGAAAATCCTAGATGGTCCATCTGCCAGGAATGTGAGCCGGCAGCCCCAGACTGGGATCATGGAGAGGTCACGAGGCTGTCCCTGCTAGTGGATTAACCCAAGGGAAAGGAGAGGTTCTTTATTCCCAAACAGCGCCTCTTGCAAGTCCCAGCTCCTGGGTCTTGCTGCCAGACCCAAACATGGCCCTGTGCCTGCTTCTTCTCCAGGAGGGCAAATCATCCAGTTCCCTGTACCTTGTTCTCATGTCTTAGGGACAAGACAGGGAGGGAGAGTCATATTTGGGCCTAAATGGGGTGTGGAGTGGGAGAACCTGTGTCATGCCTGGAAATAGCAAAATAAGTCTGTTGATCCTAAGCTGATTAAGGGTGAGTGACTCTGTCTTAAGAGGAGGCTTTTTGGACACAAAATCAGGGGCGGGATTATGGAGAGAGACGGCCCACAGCCTCAGAGGAGGAAGCCAGGCCCTGGAACCTCTACATCCTTGTTAGGGCCAACAAGGAAATGAAAAACAGACCTGGGTCTTCCTCCCCCCTCCACTTACCAGCCACCCCTTCTCCATCCACTTTCAGAGACCTCTCCTTGGGGGCCAGATCTGGAGGAGGGACCGCATGGAGTCCCCCTTCAGAATGGACCTGCAGATGGGCCTTCAGTGAGCCAGAGACCCCACACTGAGAGTCCAGGCTGGAGAGGAGCCAGCTTACCTAGTAAAATATGGCTGGATATGTACTTTCCTGTTTCTTTTGCCACAAATCTATGTACCTGACCCCTTTTTTAGACCCCACACTCAGTTACATTCTCCCCATGTTTCCCAATTTGGTTTTGTTGGTTTCAACATCAACACCTCTCTTTTCTGGGTTCCCTGTGAAACTCACACAACCTCTTTTATACCCTTGCACACACTGTTTTGTCATTTGCTCCCAGCACCCAGCACTTTGGGCACATGAAGACAGGCCCCATCTCTCCCAGGCAACCCAGAATCCCAGTCTGACACGGAGAAGCTGCTGATCAACCAATGCCCTCCCGCCCTGCCTTGGCCCACACCCCAAGCCTTCCTCAGTCCCCTACAGCCTCTGCCATTACCCAGCAGCACCAAGGACTCTCTGGCCCACTCTGTGTGTTCAAACTCATTCCTGCCTCCTCCTCCTCCTCCTCCTCCTCCTCCTTTATTTTTCACATTGCCTCATTTTTCTCTCCTATTTTGAAATTTACATCTTGTTCCAAGAACCAAAGCATCTTTACAAGCTGCACCAAACCATTCTTGAAATAAATTCACCAAATAAATAAGTAACCAGGGGGTGACCCCTTGCCCACAAGCATCCACAGCCAAAATTGTGTGTGTCATGTGGGTCCACACCCACCCTCAGGGGCCCTTCTTACTTATGTTTAAACTACCTGACAGTATCTCAATGTCCTGTAAGCGTGTCTTTAAGCTGCTTTTATTCCCTTCCTGGGGCAAAGTGAGGTTATAAATATGGAGATATTAAAATCACAGGGTGACCCAATCCAGCCTAGGTCTAGGACTTCACAGGGAACCAAACTCTACTCCACCCAGCAAGCCTCTGTTGTCTCTCTGTGCTCTCTCTCTTATTCATCAGTGTCCATCTTCTTGCTGTGGCTTTTTATGGGTCCCTGTAAAACCCTCTCTCAACAAAGTAGAAGTATAACAGTATTGGATAATCAAAAGATGGAGTGACCAGTGCCACATGGGAAAGGTCTGAGTGGGTTGGTCCTCACCTCTGGGGACTCAGTCCTGGCCCCTTCCCATTACTAATCTTCATCTTTGGGAACTAAGCCAGAGTCCTCCAGCCGTAGTCCTCAATATGGGGATGCAGGCAGATCCCCCCAGTCCAGAAGCCCCCAGATCCCAGACTCACCTTGGCAGCCACAGAGGAATTGGGCTTCTCCAGTAGGTCCCAGAGTTTTTTCCTCTTCTCTGCGCAGCACGTGTTATCGAACTCCTCGCCTTCCCGCTCCCGTAGGGTCTCGGCCTCACGCTTGAGCTCTTCGTTCATCTGCTCCTTCTTCTGGTGGTAGCGGGCCTGGCAGCAGGACTCCAAGTAGATCTCGTCGATGCCCCAGTAGTCGAGCTCTTGGCTGAAGCTGAGAGCGCACATCTCCTCCATCATGTGCAGTCGTCCCGTGCGGTAGAAGTTGAGGATGGAGGTGAAGGCGCCCGGGTGGCGATCAAAGAAGTACTCGTTGTCGTCGAGGCTGTAGTCGTCGCACACCTCGAGCAGCGAGTCATGCGTGTTGCAGTCACGGAGCTTGCCCAGCCGCGTGCGGGGCAGGCGGTCCAGGGTACGCCAGAGCACCTCGTGTGCCAGCCCCCCGACGTTGAGGCGGACCCGCCGAGAGCACGCCTTGCTGCGCACGATCTCCATGGGCTCGGGCGGCAGCGAGCTGGTGGAGCGGGAGCCATGCTTCGTCATGCCCGCCGGCATCGCTGTTCCGGCCGCCCCCGCCCCCCCTGCCCCCCCAGGCCGCTGTCACTCGACGGCAAGGCCCGCTGCTGCAGGGGAGGGGGGCAGGGAGCGCTGTGGGCTGCTGGGGGTGCAGGGGCCGCGCGCGCGCGCGTCACGGCCGTCTTCTCACCTCCATCCCGACGGCTGCGAGGCAGAAAGCGAAAGGGGACGCGGGTCAGCAAACGGGGAGCTGGGCATGCCGCCCCCCCAAAACCTGTCCACGAGGCTCGCAGCCGGCCTTGACCTTCCCGGCGTTTAAGCGGCTCAGTGGGGTAAGACGGATGGGCGCTGTCCCTCCCGCCGGTGCTGAAGTCCGCCCCACCCGATGGATGCAGGGAGGGGCCGCCCCTCAGGGCGGGGAGAGGGCCCCAAGAGATGCCCCTGGAGCTCGGCAGGCCCCACCCCGGGCTTCCGCGGCCTAGGCGCAACCCAGCCGCCTGGGGCGCTGTCCGCCCTTTAAAGTGCTGAAACTTGCTTCTCTATAGGGCTCCTGATCGAATCCCGAACCTGGCCCCGCCAAAGGGGACGGAGGGGGAGCTGCATGAAAACTTTATCTTTTTCTTTCTTTCTTTCTTCTTTTTTTAAAAGGAGTTCTCATCGTTTCCTTCTCCTGCTCAATATAATCACGATTTGGGAGGTGGGGAAATGGCAGTGAGCTTCTTTCTAAATCTTAAAAGATTTGGGAGAATTCTGGGGTTCCAGGTGCCCACCTGTCCGAGGTCACAACAGACGGGGTGTGCACAACAGCCCCTCTGCCCTGGAGCGACCCCTTTCCCCAAACACCGGAGCATCTCCTGAGGTCGCTCCAGCTCCGAGGTGAGCTGCGAGGAGGAAAACTCGCCCCTCCCTCTGTGCCCCCAACCCTACCTCAGGAGGGGCGGGCAGAGTCCTCGGGATCCGCCTGCTCTGTCCTCCTCTTGTTCCTTCCCCGCCCCCTTCCCCCCTCCTCCTCCTCCTCCTCCTTCCCTTCTCCTCTCCCTCCTCCTCCTCCTCCTACTCCTCCTCTCCTCCTCGCTCCTCTCCTGCGAAGGCTTTTTATAACTCCGGGTTCTGCGCCTTTCCCCGGGCTTGGAAGGGAAGGGATGGGGGAGGTGGGAGGCGGGGAAATGAGCTAAATTTTCTGGCCTTTTCAAAACGTGCCCTCCTACCGCGCACTGGTGATTTCGGGGGGGGTTTCCCTGAGCACCGCCTGCTTGTAGGGCTCACGCCTTCGCCCCAGAATGGGGATCGCGCCCCCCTCTCCAGCCTCAGCCCTTGTCTGCCACCACCCTGCTCCCCTCCAGCCTGGATCCACGGAGGCTGGGCAGACCAACAGGCCGAGCTGCGCCAGGCAAGCCCCCCGCCCGTGTCCCCAAGCACCCCCACGGAAGGCCGCACGCCCCAACACTCACCCCCAGGGCGGCCGCCTCCCGGGGCCAGGGACCGCGCATCGTCCCGGCCGCCCGGGCGCCCCCGCCCGTGGGCAGCGGCGGTCCCGGGGCCGGGCTGGGCCGGGCCTACCCCGGCCGGGCAGGCGACGCGACCGGGCTGCAGGCGCCGCGGGGCCGGGACGCGCTCTCCGAGGCAGGGGGCGCGGGCGGGCGCCGGGGGCGCGGGGGCAGGACCGCGGCCGCGCGGCGCTTCCTCCACCTCCTCCTCCTCCTGCTTGCTCGGTGGCGGCGGCAGCTGCCTGGGCGAGATCAACAAGTCGGGCTGAGCTTCGGCTCCGCGCTCCCTGCGATTCTGTCCCGCACTTCGGAGCGCCCGGAGCCGGGCACCGAGGCGGGACGGCGCCACCTGCGGGTCGGAAGCGCGCGCGCGGCTTAACTCCTGCCTGCCCGGCCCCGCCTGCCCGGGAGGCCGGGGGCGGGCTCCGGGCTCCGGCAAAGGAGACAAGCGTGGCCGTGCATCCCTCTCCACCCGGGCCACCTGCACAGCCGGTCTCGCGATCTTGCCTTCCTTCGTTCCGTCAACAACGTGGGTTGAACGCCTCCCGGTCGTGAGGCACGGTGCGGGGCACGGTGACAGGCGTCTGAGATACAGCTGTGAATCAAACACAAACATCCGGCCCTCGTGGAGCCGGTTGGAAACAGATCATAAACAAAAAAGCAAAAGGATCTATGAGGTGCTGACAAGCGCCGGGGGAAATAATGAAGCAGTAGGGAGGGTCAGAGGGTGGGAGGGGGCAGATCCGAACTGTAAATAGCCTTTGCTTTCATGAGCTTCCATTCTAGATTTTAACGCGGGGAGGAGGCGGGGAGGGACAATGAGCACATCAGTACATATGCAATGTGGCAGGTGGTGATAATCGCTAAGAAGAAAAATAAAGCGAGGTGGGAGGAAGAGTGAGGAGTGAGCTGGCTTATATAGTCTGGTGATTCATTCATTCATTCATTCATTCATTTATTCATTTATTCATGTTAAGTTGGACATCTGATTATTGACAGCTTCCTATGTGCAGGCAGAATGCCAGGCTCTGAGAAGGAAAAGTCTTTCCCCTGGAGCTCCCTATTCAGTGGGGGAGGCAAAACCCATCAGATAATCCCAGAAATGAATATAGAACTGGAGGAGGTACCTGGAGAGACTGGCAAGGGTTTCCTAAGGATGTCACAGTTGGGCCTTGTAATCTCAATGCTTTGGGGGGCTGAGGCAGGAGGAGGATGGCTTGAGCCCAGGAGTTGGAGACCAGCCTGGGCAACATAGTGAGACCCCATCTCTGCCAAAAAACTAAAAAGTTAGCTGGGCATGGTGGTGCGTACCTGTGGTCTCAGCTACTCAGGAGGCTGAGACAGGAGGATCACTTGAGCCCAGGAGGTCGAAGCTGCAGTAAGCTGTGAGTGCACCTCTGGATAACAGAGTGAGACCCTGCCTCAAAAAAAAAAAGGTGCCGGAGATGGGTAGGTGCCGGAGATGGGTAGAGCAGTGAGCTCCCTGCCTTGGAGGGTGAAAACTGAACAAGATACAGGTCCCAACAGGGTTCCTCTTTGGCCCTTTCCTTCATTTCCAAAATTAAGGAGTTTGTTTTCATAGAGCTGCACATAATATTATTACATATTTTTAATCCGTCCACTTATCATCTCCATCATCACGATCCAATGTACCATGGTCTTGTCTCCCTGCAACCTGGCCTCCCTTGCTCTTGCCTTGGTCTCCTACAGTTCATTCTCCCCATGGCCACTGGAACAACTGCTACATTTCATGAATTGGACCATGTTTCTCATCTGCTTAAAACCCTCCCAGGACTTTCCCTTGCTTTATACTAAAACCTAAACTTCTAACCTATTGCCCTAATTCAGCCCTGCCCCCTTCTCTGAGCTTGTAGACCAGTGGAGGAAGACAAGCAACTAAAAAGGTGAATTTTAAAACGAGAGAGTTTCAGGCTATGCTGAGTGTTATAAAGGAAATGGAACGTCATGATGGCGTGGAAACGGACCAAGCTGCTAGCTTTACACTGGGTGGTTAGTGAGGGTGTCTTGGAGGAGATGAATAGAGACTTGAAAGATAAGAAGGGACCAGCCACAGAAAAAAATGAGGAAAGGGCATTCCAGGTGGAGGAAACAGCAAGAGCAGATGCCCTGGGCTGGAAAGGGGAATGAGCTATGTTTAAGGAACAGCAAGGCAACCAGACAGGCTGGAACAGAGGAAGCAGGAGGGACCATGATGGTGGGGCAGGAACTATGCAGGCTCATATGGGCCGTGGCAGGAGCTTTGGCTTTTATTCCAGGGAAGTCACTGGAAGTTTTGAGCAGAGTGACTTAGGTTAGACTCAGGACACTCTGGAGAACAGACAGTGGGAAGCAGGGGTAGGAGTGGGGAGACCAGCAAGGAAGCTGTTGTAGTTGCCCAGGTGAGAGTTGATGGCAGCTTGATCCAGGAGGGTGGTAGTGGAAAAAAGTGGTCACGCAGGGTCTATATCAAGGGTAGTGCTGTAAGGATTTTCTGATAGTTTGGATGCGGGCTGTGAGAGAGAACAATCACATTCCCTCCTGCTTCAGGTTGGCGCTCCTAGGGTCAGAAAGGGTTCTCAGCTTGTCCCTCAGTAAGCCTAAGCTGCTGAAGGGAACCTTTCCCCAGAGATCTTGGAATTCCCACAGGAGGCTGCAGAAAACAGTAAATCCTTCCTGATGACAAGAAAAAAATCACTCTACAATGGTGAAATTTCTATTCCAGTTTCCAGTGGTGAAATTGCAGGCATCACTGCAGGCATTACCGTGCCTTCCAGGTACAGCTAAAATAACACCTAGAAGTGCAGTTCTTCTCCAATCCATACAGCCAAGGAGTGGGGATGAATGTTGGGCACCTGCTACAGAGAGTCCTCTGAAGGTATAACATTTAGTCAGCATCCACATCTGTAAATAACAGAGGAGGTTATTTACAGATGTGGAAGCTGAAGCTCCGGGAGAAGGTGCCTTGCCCAGTATCTTGCTGGCGAGTGCTGGCACAGCTAGATGTGGCAATCTCTTGTTTGACTCCAAAATCAACAGGCTATCCAAATGCCAGAGCAGGCTCTCTGCAAAGTCCTTCCTCCATCAATTCATTTACTGATTAATGGAATCATTCTAGATGTTTACTGAGCATCTACTATGTGCCTCAGCATGGGTGTTGGTGCTGGGAATTGAGGATGAATAACTGACAAGGTCCCTGACCTCATGGAGCTACACATCTCTCTTGCCAAAGCCAGGAAGGAACAGACAGAAAACCTGATGCTTGTTTTTCTTCTGTATTGTTGTATTCATGTTTAAATTCCCTTTTATCCGCATTCCCCTCCTGCTACCCTTTCTAGCCCATAGGAAATGATTGTCATGTGTCAATCACATATTGTTTCGTTTGGGCTTGTTTTTGTTTTTGCTCATAGAGATGGGGACTCACTCTGTCTCCAGGTTGGAGTGCAGTGGCACGATCATGACTCACTGCAACCTAAAACTCCTGGGCTCCAGTAAACCTCCTGCCCTGGCCTCCCAGTGTTGGGATTACAGGTGTGAGCCACTGTGCCTGGCCTGTATATTGCTTTGTTTGTATGTATGAGTTGTTGAAAACTGTGTTTGGTGTTTTTGTGCATTTTAAAACTTACATACATGGTTTGTGTTATACATCACATTCTATTTGTTTTTCTCTAAGATCCATCCATGTTGCTGTGGGTACACACCCAGCCTGCTGTCTTAATAGCTGCACAGTTGTTCACGATGACACAGTGTCCCCCCTCCACTGTCTACCCCCTATGTGGTCACCCAGATGACCTCCAACTCCCGCCGACGCAATGAATACATCCATGAACATCCTCCCACATGTCTGTTTATGAGCCAGTGTGATGATTTTTTAAAAAACATTTCCTGTTGGCTGGGCGCGGTGGCTTAAGCCTGTAATCCCAGCACTTTGGGAGGCTGAGGCAGGTGGATCACGAAGACAAGAGATCGAGACTATCCTGGTCAACATGGTGAAACCCGTCTATACTAAAAATACAAAAAATGAGCTGGGCATGGTGGTGCGTGCCTGTAATCCCAGCTACTCAGGAAGCCGAGGCAGGAGAATCGCCTGAACCCAGGAGGCGGAGGTTGCAGTGAGCTGAGATCAGGCCATTGCACTCCAGCCTGGGTAACAAGAGCGAAACTCCCTCTCAGAAGAAAAAAAAATCTCAATATCGAAACTGACATTTGTATATATCTTAAAAAAAAAAAAAAAAAGAATGGCTATTCTGCAAAAGTTACTGGGGGAAAATAAACCCAGAAATGACTGGTACATAAGCAGTGTTGCAGTCCTCTAGGCAATCCCTCTTCCAATTAGCAGAGGGCATGAGCTGGTGGACTGTGGAATTGTGTTGTTTGGCCATCATAGTAGTTTTAAAAAATTGAATCAATATTGAAACGTCAGAGGAGTTTACATAAAATATGGATTTATAACATCACTTGAAAAATTAAAGGATCTGATTAACACTGGAACTACATTCTTGCGTGGTATGGCAATTATGGCTGGCACAGAGTACTGGCCGCCCTTGAGTCACAGCTGCTCCTTTAAAGCAGGACATGATCTCTTGTTTGCTACAGTCTCCACCTCTCCCTAAAGCCCCTCACTCAAGTCTCCTTCCTTCCCTCCCTCCCTCCCTCTCTCTCTCTCTTTCTTTCTTCTTTCCTTGACAGAGTCTTACTCTGTCACCCAGGCTGGAGTGCAATGGTGTGATCTCAGCTCACTGCAACCTCCACCTCCTGGGCTCAAGAGATTCTCCTGCCTTATCCTCCCAAGTAGCTGGGATTACAGGCGCGTGACACCAAGCCTGGTTAATTTAGTACTTTTAGTAGAGACAGAGTTTCACCATGTTGGCCAGGCTGTTCTCGAACTCCTGACCTCAAGTGGTCCATCTGTTTCGGTTTCCCAAAGTGCTGGGATTACAGGCGTGAGTCACTGTGCCCGGCCTCACTTTTCTTATTTATGTTACCTGCCTGATCCTGGTATAAATTTGAGTCTGCGCTTCTTGCATGCAAAAGCCAAGGGACTCTCAAGAGGCTGTCTTGCCTCTCTGTGTTTCCCCAGACTGCACGGCGCCTCATTTAGAATTTTCATTTTCTGAATGAAAAGACTATAAGTTACTTCATCTCTAACAATTTTCTGCCATCATAAGAGGAGAGACTACCTAGAAATAAAACCGTTACAGGGGAAAGTTGGGTGCCACTGGATTTTCCAGTTATGTGAGCTTGTAAATTCTCCTTTTTACCTAAGCCAAGTTGAGTCGGGATTGTGTCATCTATATCCAAAAGAGCTCAGCTGATATAATCCTCTTTCCAGTGACCAGAAGGTTATAATCTACTTTTTCTGAGACAAGGTCTCACTCTGTCACCCAGGCTGGAGTGCAGTGACATCATCACCACAGCCTTGACCTCCTGGGCTCAAGCAATCCTCCCGCCTCAGCCTCCTGAGTAGCTGGAATCACAGGCATAAACCACCATGCTTAGCAAATTTTTGTATTTTTAGAATAACTGAGATGCAGTTTCACCGTATTGGTCAGGCTGATCTTGAATTCACGGGTTCAAGAAATCTGCCCACCTCTGCCTCCCAAAGTGCTGGGATTGCAGGCATGAGCCACTGCACTTGGCCAGTTGTAATCTACTTGAGCCCTAGATATACTTATAAGAAACAGGGCAAAAAGAGTAATAAAAAGCAGAATATTCTATAGAGAAGGGACACCCCACCCCAATGAGATCTCAAGTACAGGCTGGTTGTGGTGGCACACATCTATAATACCAATACTTTGGGAGGCTGAGGTGGGCAGATGGCTGAGCTGAGGAGTTCGAGACCAGCCCGGGCAATATGGTGAAACACGTCGCTACAAAAAAATCAGGAATTAGTCAGGTGTGGTGGTGTATGCCTGTAGTCCCAGCTACTTGGAAGGCTGAGGTGGGAGGATCACTTGAACCCAGGAGGCTGAGGTTGCAGTGAGCAGAGACTGCACCACTGCACTCTAGCCTGGACGACAGAACAAGACTCTGTCTCAAAAAACAAAAATAAAATAAAATAAAAGATCTCAAGTACAGCCATTCATTTAAAGATGGGGAAATAAAAAGCTGATTGAGGGGACAGGATCCCAGTGGGCAGCCACTGAGTGGGCAGGCAAGTACCAATACCCAAGCACCCGACTCCCAGGGTAATGCCCTCTCAAAATGCTTGCGGCTCAATCCTCTCTGCAGACGTCCTCTGCTGAGAAGTGTTGAGATTTTTTCCTTAGAGGCTGAGTGAGGTCAAGTCAACCCAATTCGTCCATGTAAATACAAGTGATATCCCCTTTAAAAGGTGCTGGCAAGGGACGTGTTCACTTGAAGTCAGGGTTTTTTCTTTCTCTTGGACTCCGTTATACCTGTCATCATTTATTCATAATCCCACTGAGTCTCCTACTCAGGTTTTTTGGCACATCTGGGCACTGAGAAAGGCCAATTAATCCCCCTTCCCCCATGAATTCCTGGATAAGAATAATCGCTTTATGAGGGTGGTTATGGGGGTACCCAAAGCCTCAAGGAAAATCATTACATCTCTGAGTGGATGTCACTCAGGACAACTGCTCTTTGCTGTGGCCTTGCCCAGACAAAACTCCAGCAGCCTGAGGGAATTTTCCATCAGCTTGGACTCCAGTCTTCTTACCCATCTCTCTTTTGTCACACCCCAAAATAATAATCATAATCACAAGTAAAAACGGGATGATGATGGAATCTTCCTCTCAGGGTTGCTGAAGGAAGTAAAAAGATAATGCATAGAAAGTATTTCGCACCTTGTCTAAGTAGTAAGTACTCATCAAAAGAAGAGTAATAGCAATGCTAGAAACCATAATATCAGCTAACATTTATTGAATGCTTACTGCATACCAGGCCCTGTTCTAAATGCTTTGCATGTGTCTGATCTCATTTAAGAGTCTTTCTAGCTCTTTCACTCTCTGGCTGAATATTCTGATATAAACAAGACCTATTAGCTGTTAGATGATACTTGAGTGAACAGATGTCTGATTCTAGTGTCTGTTCTATTTTCTGCTAGCTTGATTGTCTTTATTAAGCCCTGGGTTTCCTGGCCCAAGTTCCTGGTAAAAGGATGAACTTGGTTTTCTTTCCTTTCTTCGTTTTCATTTTCTAAATTAAATAAAATTTGTTTTAGAGATGGAGTCTCTCTATGTTGCCCAGGCTGGCCTTGAACTGGAGGTTCAAATGATCCTCCCACCTCAGCCTCTCAAATACCTGGAATTACAGGCACATACCCAGTGTGCCTGGCTAAGCCTAGTTTTCTGCCCAACCTAAACATTTGTCCATCTCTCCTTCCTTTCTTTTGCCTATCACCTGTCCGCCAACCTAATCATCCCCTCATCCATCCATATACTCAGCAACCAAATTATTCAACTACATACTCACCCATCCATCTACTCACTTACTCATCTATTCTTTCTCTCACCCACTTACCCATCATCTTTCTTTTTATTCATCCACATATTCTATCCACTGTCCATCTTTCTACCTACTCATCCACCTACTATCCATTTATCCATCTATTCACCCATCCATATACCATCTGTCTTTCCACTCATCCCACTATCTGCCCACTCACCCACCCACACATCCAGTCCCTCATCGACCCCAAATATTTATGCATCTATCCACCACTCACTCCCCACTCATCCATCCATCCATCCTTCTGATCCATCCAGGTATCTACCCGCCCACCCAGCCATCTTCACCCATCTACCACTTAATATTTACAGTAATGCTCTGTGCTAATCCCTAGTTTGTTGTTTTGCGCTCCCTCCCTGGAAGGAAAGGTGGGTGCCATCAGGGGGTCCCCACAGAGGAAGACAGACAAGCCTGCGTGGAGTCCAGTGAGGCTCTTTCCAGCCAGGACCTTCAAAGCCACTGACTTCCAGGATCTGTGGCCAAACAATGATGAAATGCGGGGTGGAGATGGATGGAGGCACACGCTTCCAGCAGAGCAATTAGAGGTAAACTAATATCTCTTTCCCACAGAGGAGCCTTGGAAACTCCAAGACGCGATAGAAAAGAGATGAGTCAGCAAAAGGAGGAAATCAAAGCCACGGAGATCAAGAGCTAATTAACTGATCCTCCTCAGATAATATTTCATTAAAATCCAGTTCTTCTGCCCTTTGGGGACTGATATCTTTCCTACCGCCTCTCCATTGCCCTTTTTCCACCCGTTCCTGATCTCATCTGCCTCTGCTCTGATCTTTCCCAGTCTTATCCCAATCCAACCTCCCCATAGCTACTAAGGTAGACTTCTAGAGGCACAATTCTGACCATGTTACTCCCTATTTATAAGCCTTCATGACTCATTGCCCAAAACAAAGGGCAAGCTCTCAAGTTGAGGCAAAGGCCGTTCATTCATTTAACACAGATTTCCTCAGAGAGCTCCCTCACAAGCTTGGGGACGGCAGGGCACAGAGACAAGTTTCTGGCCCTTGCCCTGTTTCTCCAGATTCCTCACCCACACTCCTTTCCACATTCCTGCATTTCAGCAAAGATTTTCCAACCTCTGGCCCAAGGGTAGCCAGTCCCCAGGGAATGAGCCCTCAGTATCCATGCTTTACTCAGTTCACTTCCATGTTGGCTCTGGGCTTGGTTTGTGACTTGCATTTACCAGTGGAATGTGGCAGCAGTGATGCCAGTTCCAGGCCTAAGCCTTGAAGGGGTCAGGCAGCTTCTGCTTTTGGGCTCTTGGGAGCTCTGAGCCACTGGGTAGGCAGCCAGGCTACCCCGCTGGAAGGGACCATGAGGAAAAACTGTGAAAAATGAGAAACCCTACAATTACATGGAAAGAGACAGACGCTTAGCCCTCCCAATGTTACAGCTGAATGCAGCCTTCCAGCCATCTCTACCAAGGCACCAGACATGTGAGTGAAGTCCCAGTCCCATCTGACATCTTGACTGCAGCTGCATGAGAGACCCCCAAGTGAGAGCCGCAGCAGAACCAACTAGTTAGAAGTCCCATTCTTATTCTACTAGTTCTTAGGAGAGCTATTCGTTCTCATGAGCTTTTTAAAAAGTGCCAACCTGACTGGACACAGGGGCTCATGCCTGTAATCCCAGCACTTTGGGAGGCTAAGATGGGTGGATCACTTGAGGTCAGGAATTTGAGACCAGCTTGACCAACATGGTGAAACCCCACCTCTCCTTTACTAAAAAAATTAAAATACAAAAATTAGCCAGGTGTGGTGACAGGCATCTGTAACCTCAGCTACTCAGGAGGCTGAAGCAGGAATTGCTTGAACCCGGAAGGTGGAGGTTACAGTGAGCTGAGATCGTGCCACTGCACTCCAGTCTGGGCAACAGAGTGAGACTCCATCTCAAAAAACAAACAAACAAAAACACCAAGCCACAAAGCCATGATAAATAACAAAACAGTTTCATGTCAAGTCACTACATCTGGGGGTTGTTTGTTATATAGCCCCCGACATCTGATCCAGCAGCCTTGCTCCTGCTATTTCCATGGCTTAGAATGTCTCTTTCCTCTGGGAAACTGTGAGACTAACCTACAATACTCATTTTTCCGTCTCCTCCACTGACTATGAATGACAATTTACTCAGGCAATGCTCACAGAACCCTATGCGGGAGATGGTATTATTATCCATCATACCATTTTCCAGGTGAAGAAGCTGGGGCACAGAGAAATGCCCCCAATCGGGGTATTAAGTGGCTCGGCAGAGATTTAAGCCCATACAGAGCCCAAGCTCTCGTACATTATGGCTTCTAAGTAAAGCATAAAAAAGTTATGACATTTATTGGTCTCATTTTAACACAAAATCCCAAAGTAGGTGGTGCCAGGATCTGTCCCAGCAGCAGCCGATCTGTCTCAAGGTTCTCGTTCGATTTCTCGGAGAGTCTCTTGTCCACATAATCACAAAATGGCTGCCATGCTCAGCCTCTCACATGACAACTCCCAGAGCAGGAGGAAGAAAGAACATCTCCCATATTTTTGAAGTTCCCCACTGATTTTCCCAGCCATTTCATTGGCCAGTACTGGATCACATGACCACAACTAGCCCAGTTACCGGCAAGAGAAGCCTGATACCATGTTTGGCTTGGCCCTGTCTTGATTTAGAGGTTGGGCCCATTTCCTTTGAGCACAAGACTGTCTAATATCTGAAGAAAGCCAGGGTTTCTTCTAGTGAGGGAGTTGGCCAATTAATTAGTGTCTCTTCCGCAGTGGTCAGCTCTCAGAACACCTGAGGTAAAGTCACATACAGACCCTGCTCTTGTCAAGGATCCAGAAGCCCCAAAGGTTACTCTCCCAGGTTTGCATAACGTGGGTAGTCTCAGTCCATTTGTGTTGCTATAAAGGAATACCTAAGGCTGAGTAATCTCTAAAGAATAGAGGCTTATTTGGCTCAATGTTCTGCAGGCTGTACAAGATGTGACACCAGCATCTGCTTCTGGTGAGGGCCTTACGCTACTTTCACTCATGGTGAAAGGGGAAGGGCAGCCTGTGTGTGCAGAGATCTCATGGCAAGAAGGGGAAGCAAGAAAGAGACGAGGGAGCCACCAGGCTCTTTTCAACAACCAGCTCCTGCAGGAACTTGCAGGAATAGAGGAAGAACACACTTATTACCAACGGGGAGGGCACCAAGCCTTTCATGAGGGATCCACTGCCATGACCCATACCCTTCCCATTAGTTCACACCTCCAACACCGGGAATCGAATTTCAACATCAGCTTTGCAAAGGTCAAACATCCTAACTATCGCATGGGTGCACCTGCCTTGTCTCTTCCAGGCCACTGGGAAGCTCCATGGAAGGTCCTGGGGCCATAAGATCGCACGCTGCCAGCTCTTCCCCAACTCATTAGACTCCCGGCCTTGCAGACACAGCTCTCAACCACGTCCCAAATGGCCATGACTCCCAAATGCCAGACCAATAATGTGTTTTCATTTTCACTGGCCCATCATGGAATGAATGAGAAAAATAGGGACAGTGGAATGAGATTTGTATAAAGCTAAATTGATTCCATTTAAAGGATGGTGGTTTACTTTCCTACTTAAAGTCTCTAATGGCTTCCCAGGGCACTTAGCATAATGCCCAGCCTCCTCTTCCTGATGAGGTCTGCACCCAGAGTGGCTCCTGCCATCCCCTCACTCAGCCTCAGCCTCCCTGAGATGCTCCTTCTCCAGCACACCAAACCCTTTGCCTCTTTAGGCTTCTTTGGACTTGTAGTCTCTTTCTCCTGGAATGTTTCTCCCTAGTTCTTTACAAAGCTGCTCTCTCATCTTCACCTCACCTCATATTGCCACCTGCCTGGAGACTTTTTCTAACTGCCTCCAAGGCCACGGGCACATCCACCTCCATTCAGCATCCATCACCTCCTGCTGTTTGCTTGTCTTCAGAGCCCTCCTCAGCACTTGACACTGTATTTATGCTAATTTGTCTCTTCACTGGGTGGTCTCTGCTGCCCAAATGTGAAACCTATGAGGGCGGAGACCTTGCCCAGACCGGTGCAGTCTCTTCCTCCCTGGTCTCCAGCTTCCCACCCCTCGGCATGCATGGTGAGATGGATCCTGCTACAACATAAGTTGAACCGTGGCTCTTCTCTACCCGGAGCCTTCCGGGGCTGCTGGCCACGCCACACTGCCTCACTCTTCTCCTGGAACCTGCTCCAGAGCTTCCCATCTTCACATTTGCCATTACATCTCTCCAGAACATTCTCTCCTCAGATGCCCCATGGATTGCTCCTCTCATTTCCATCAAGCTTCTGTTCAAAGCTCCCCCAGGGAGGCCATTCCTGCCCACTCTAAAATCACACTTCTCATCCCCTGACATCTTTATTCTTCTCCAAAGTGCTTATCTCCATTTTACCTGCTTTATATTTTACTATTTACCTCATTTGTTTTGGTCTCTCCCATGAGAGTGTCCGTGCTGTGAAGACAGGGATACAGCTTGTGTGTGTGTGTGTGTGTGTGTGTGTGTGTGTGTGCGCGCGCGCGCACGCACGTGTGTGTTACTCACTGCCAGGTCCTGTTGTCTAGAACAATGCCTGGTACAATGAGAGGTGCTCAAAATATTTACTTAAAAAATGCACAACAGCTTTCTTGAGGTGTAATTCATATGTCATCAAATCTGCCCACGTGGCCAAGCACAGTGGCTCACACCTATAATCCCAGCATTTTGCGAGGCCAAGGTGGAAGGATCACTTGAGACCAGGAGTTTGAGACAAGCCTGGGCAATATGATGAAACACTGACTCTACACAAATATACAAAAACAAAAGTTAGCCAGGCAGGAATGGTGGCTCATGTGTATAATCCCAGCTACTCAGGAGGCTGAGGTGGGAGGATCACTTGAGCCCAGGAGGCAGAGGTTGCAGGGAGCTGAGATCGCACCACTGCACTCCAGCCTGGGTGACAGAGTGTGACCCCTGTCTCAAAAAAAATTTGCCCACTTAGAAGTATATTCAGAGTTTTGCAACCCTCACGGTCATGGTCACTCCGCATTCCTCCCTATTTCCCCATCCCTGGCAAACACTAGTCCATTTCATGACTCTATAGATTTGCCGATTCTCGACGTTTCACATACATTCAGTCCTATAATAAGTGGCCTTTTGTGACTGGCTTCTTTCACTTAGCATAACGTTTTCAAGGCTCATTTGTACTGTAGTGTATATCAGTACTTGATTCCTTTTTATTGACAAATAAGATTCCATTGGAACGGGGGATATACCATATTTTGCTTATCCATTTATCAGCTGGTGAACAATTGGGTTGTTTCCACCTCTTGGGCTATTCAGTATAGACTTTCGAGTGAGTGGTTGTGTTAATTCTAATACGAAACCTACCTTTCTGCTTTAGGGGTATTACAATATCCTTTCATAAACTGACAGTAGGAGTAAATGTATTTCTTAATGTCCTTACCTGGAAAGATAAAACACTGGGTCTTTCTGTTGACTTTAATGGTACAAGGGTATGAAAGGCCAAAAAGTCTTGGAGCTGCAGATGACTAGGGCCCAGGCTGTAGCAAAGGCTGGGTCAGTGGCTCAGGGCAGCCAAGCCCTGTACCTCTGGCCTTGCCATGTGGTTCAGACCATGACTGGTAAACAGGAGAGCATAATGTAACACTTCTCAAACTCAGGTATGGTACCCCTCTGAGGGCACACGCTGATGTCCTGAAGAGAAAGACTACATTTCCCAGACCTCTGTCTGTCCAGCAAGACATGATCATGTGATTGACTTCTGACCAATGGGATGAATGCAGGAGATTTTTCTCTTCTTTGCTTCACCCTCCTTCCTGCTTGGTGGAACGTGGAAAAAGTGGCTGGAGCTCAAGCAGCCATATCCACCTCTGAGGTGAAAACCACTGGTTACAGATGCTAGAGGGTCCAGAAGGAGAGACCTGTGATTGTGGAGATGCCACACCACCTCTAGCTTCCTGTATCTGCTTGAGAGAGAGAGAAAAAAAATGTGGCCAGGGACAGTGGCTCATGCCTGCAACCCCAGCACTTTGGGAGGCCAAGGTGGGTGGATCACTTGAGGTCAAGAATTCGAGACCGGCCTGGCCAATATGATGAAACCCTGTCTCTACTAAAAATACAAAAATTAGCTGGGTGTGGTGGCGCACGCCTGTAATCCCAGCTACACAGGAGGCTGAGGTAGGAGAATCGCTTGAACCTGGGAGGTGGAGGTTGCAGTGAGCCAAGGTCACACCACTGCACCACTGCACTCCAGCCTGGGAGACAGAGCAAGACTCCATCTCAAAAGAAAAAAAAAAAAAGAAGGAAAGAAAGAAAAAAGCCTGAGGTCTTGAATGCCTGCAGTCTTGAATGAAAGCATGCTGATGTATAACACGTTGCTATGTTACTGTGAGAAGTCTGCCACTCACTGCCAAATCCAGTCCCACCCGATGTGCCTCCATGACCTCCTCCTCACAGATGAGGAAACTGACGTGAGAGACATCTGCCCTGGGACATTATTTCTATACAAAGATTTGAGATAAAAAACAAATTTCCCTTTTAACTTTTCCCAAGGCTTGTTTAATCCATTTCACCCCTTCTGTTTTCTATTCAAACACATGCATGCATTCTGGGGAAGGATGGAGAACGTCCAGTGAATTTTAAAGAAAGGATTTGTGTTGTCCACTTGTTACCAAGGTCTGCCCCAAGGTCCTCTAATGCAGCGGTCCCCTACCTTTTTGGCACCAGGGACTGATTTCATAGAAGATAATTTTTTCACGGACCCAGGGGTGGAGGAGGGGATGGTTTCAGGATGGTTCAAGTGCATTACATTGATCGTGCACTTTAATTATATTTTTATTACATTGTTTAAAATAGTGAAATTATACAACGCACCATATGTAGAATCAGTGGGAGCCCTGAGCTTGTTTTCCTGCAACTAGATGATCCCATCTGGGGGTGATGGGAGACAGTGACAGATCATTGGGCATTAGATTCTCATAAGAAGTGTGCAGCCCAGATCCCACGCATGCGCAGTTCACAACAGGGTTCGCGCTCCTATGAGAATCTAGTGCCACCACTGTGAGGTGGAGCTCAGGCGGTCATGCGAGCGATGGGGAGTGGCTGTAAATACAGGTGAAGCTTTGCTCACTTGCCATTCACCTCCTGCTGTGCAGCCCAGTTCCCAACAGGCCAAGGACCTGTACTGAACCGTGGCCCAGGGGTTGTGGTTGTGGACACCTGCTCTAATGGGTACTCGGTCCCTCTGCTGCCAGCAGGAGGACCACTGAAAGAAAGATCCTGAACACTGTCTCAGGCAGCAGAGGAGCCTGCATTTGAATCCCAGGTCTACTGCTTCTTGGCCACGTGTTCTTGGGCAAACCACTTCACCTCTCTGACCCTCAGTTTCTTCCTCTGTAAAAATGGGGATACTATGTATGCCTTGGAGGGTAGGTAAAGGTGTGACTCGATTCTGTCTGTGAGCGGCCCGGGCCCAGAACAAGGCACAGAGTAGATGCTCCGTGTTCCTGTCTCAGGAGCTGACCTCACCATTCCAGGCACAGCCAGGGGCCTCCGTCAGAATCACACTTGGAGACGGTTCCACAAACAAGATGGTTTAATAGATTTCAGCATGTTTTCACTTGACAATGTTATATGAAAATAGAATCTTTATTAAAATAGCAAAGCACAACAATCACTGCTACTCAGGAAACACAGTCTTTATTTATTGTTCTTAATGATCAAAATCAATGACTTTGGGCAAGACCTGTGAACTCTCAGAGCCTGTTTCTCCTTCTGGAGGACAGGCAGGTAGGACATTGCCAGCTCCTTGTGGGTGGGAGCCACTGGTGGGAGGAGATGGCCCTGGTGGCCCGTGTGATGAGCAACTCACTCCTCCTTCTGTCCCTGGAGAAGATCAGGGAGATGCCAGGTGGCCTTAAGGCAATGCTAACACTTGCTTATCTGGTTTTGTAACAGAGAAGAGACAGCTCTGAGCCTTGGCCAACCAGCATGGAGCCCCCTCCCCAGTGCCACTGAGCGATCTCGGCTCACCGCAACCTCTGCCTCCTGCGTTCAGGCAATTCTCCTGCCTCAGCCTCCTGAGTAGCTGGGATTACAGGCACGTGCCACCGTGCCCAGCTAATTTTTTGTATTTTTAGTAGAGATGGGGTTTCACCATGTTGACCAGTATGGTCTCGATCTCCTGACCTCGTGATCCACCCGCCTTGGCCTCCCAAAGTGCTGGGATTGCAGGCGTGGGCCACCGTGCCCAGCCCGATCACTTTCTATTTTTGGCAGTGAGTGATACATGTTATCCACTATCGGCAGCAATAGAAAAAAAAGTTCCTTTTTAAAATAAATTTAAATGTAAAAAGCGACTCTGTTTAAAGGAGAATATTTGGTAAACAACAATATTAAAAGATAGCAAATAATAGTAATAATCATAATGGTAAGGAAACACTTCATTAGGTTAACTTAAGAGTATTTAATTCTTGCCACTGAGCTTTAAAAAAAAAAAAAGAATATTCCTTACATATGTCCAGCAATTTTGATTCTTTTTTGGCAGGGGGTCGAGGGGGCATAGTCTCGCTCTGTCACCAGGCTGGAGTGCAGTGGTGCAATCACGGCTCACCACAACCTCCGACTCCTGGGTTCCAGTGATTCTTCCGCCTCAGCCTCCCGAGTAGCTGGGACTACAGGCACATGCCACCATGCCCGGCTAATTTTTGTATTTTTAGTAGAGACGAGGTTTCACTGTGTTGGCCAGGCTGGTCTCAAACTCCTGACCTTGTCATTCTCCCGTCTTGGTCTCCCAAAGTGCTGGGATTATAGGCGTGAGCCACTGCGCCCAGCCAGCAGTTTTTATTCTTAAGCTAAGGATGAAGAAATACCATGGCATCCACGTACCTTCCTATAGCAGGTAGCAGGTAGCTAACCCACTCATCTCTCCCTCGTTTCTTTCTGGCTCCTATTTATTTAAAAGAGAAAAAGAGAGAAAGAAAAAATAACAAATAAAACAAGGGCAGCTTTAAATCATCAACTCCTGAGCTGCACTTCAGTATCTCAGGCAACAGCTGGAGCTGCCTTGTGGGAGCAGGTCTTTTCCTTGAGCGTAATTCACTAATGATCACGGCTTCAAGGAGGTGCGACCTTTAAAGGGAATTGGCCCTTCTTTGAAGGCAGGTGAGAATCTAGTCTCGGTGACAACCCAGCCTGATTTGGAAGGGGGAAGTCATAAGGGTTTTCCCCCAGCACACCAGGGTTGCAGCCTGCGCGAGACCTTCCACAGCTATTTCTGCCGGCTTGCTTCCTTCCCTTCCCAGCCACCATGAGGCAGCTGAGGGTTGCCACGGAAACCGGCTCTGTCCTCCCACTGGAGGCTGCCAGCTCTGATTTCCCGCAGAGTTAAGAAGGAGGCGGCAGCGGGGGTCACCCAGGCGTGAAGATGGGTTTCCCTGGGGATATCCCGCCTCCTGCCAATCACAGTGTCTCTCTGGGAATCCTGGGGGTGCCTGGAGGCGGAGGCCCAGGGAAGCCCCCAAACCCCAGTGCTGCTCTGAGAAGAGACTAGGCTCTGGGACATTCAGAGGTCTGGGGTTCTTTTCTCTCCCTCCAGCTAAAGCTACAGGGAGCTCATCATGTGACTTACGAGATGTCCCCATGTTTAGGTGCCTCTCACTCTGTCAGCTCTCTGTAGAAAACAATTGCCCCATCACCATCCCCCTTGAGCCCAAGGAACAGGAGTTGCCCATCCAGATTTGCTCCCAGGACAGTCAATCTGCCCACGGAGTTCTACCGCTTATGAGCTATGTGGCCGCGGCTCGGTTTTCTCATCTACAAAGCAGGCACAGCCCTCCTTCTCTTCACAGAAATGCTGTGTTTCTAGAAATACTGTCAAAAGGGCCTATTGCAGGCATGTAAAGGGTCTCAATAAACAGGACCTAATATTAATATAAGTATTTAGCATCTAAAAAAGGTTTGTAGGCCATTTTCCTCTTTAAGCTGTATTTTATTTTATTTCCTGACACAGAGTCTCATTCTGTCACACAGGCTGGAGTGCCATGGTGCAATCTCAGCTCACTGCAACATCCACCTCCTGGGTTCAAGCGACACTTGTGCCTCAGCCTTCTGAGTAGCTGGAATTACAGGAGTGTACCACCACGCCTGGCTATTTTTTGTATTTTTAGTAGAGATGGGATTTCACCATGTTGACCAGGCTGGTCTTGAACTGCGGGCCCCAGGTGATCCACCCACCTCAGCCTCCCAAAGTGCTGGAATTACAGGCATGAGCCGCGGTGCCTGGCATAGGCTTTTTGTTCTAAAGCTGGGGCAAAGGCAAGTTTTCATCACCGATACATTTGTTCAAAGGGTGGTGCACTCAGGCTCGGTCGGACCAATTAGCTGGTCCCCACCACCTCTTGTAATGTCACTTCTAAGAGTTAGAGCAGGGTCTCACACTCAGATGCCTTCAGGGCCAGGAGGCACTGTGAATGCAGAAGCAGACCCGGCAGTGAAGCAGAGAGCTCCTAGCCTGCATAAGGGAGGCGCCTGCCATTCAGCTCTGGCCAAGAGTTACCCTTGGGAATGTGAGCCCAGTGTGGTCAGATATACCATGTTTCCAAGAGAAGCTGGACATTTTGAATGAACTCTCCCAAAGATGATAACAACTAAGGTAATTTTCTTTGAGTGCAGTCCAAACAAAGCAGGTCTGCAGACTGGATCGTGACCACAGTTTGGGCTTCTGCACTAGAATGCATGAGATCAGCACCTTCTTTTTTGGTTTGAACAGTCTAAGGAGTCCTGGGTGGCTTCTTCCAGCCATCTCCTCTGGCCTGTGTCTTCCTTAGCTCCCTGCCTGTGTGCTGACACTGAGAAAACCCATCCCATCTGGTGCCTGTCACTCTAGAGCAGGAAACTCCACTCCTCAGAGCCCCGTGTTTGGAGGGTGCCCCTGTTCCGTACCCAGAACGCATCAGCCTTGAGGAAAGCTCTCCTGCATTTTCTCACGTAGTGTGAGCAGTGAGGGAAGTGTCTGGTAAATGGGGCATCCAGGGAAGCAGATATTCTAAGGGACTCCTTTGGCTTTAGCTGGTTTAAGGATCATTGGGGGACTGACTGCTGAATGACATCAATGGACACACTGCTAGGTCCTGAGTGGCCTTTCTGTGGCAAGTATCTGCTTTGACTGGATAAGGCCTGGACCATGATAGCTGATAGGAGCAGGGAAGGTGGCCTTCCGGGAGTTGGGGGCAGAGCAGTGAGGACTCCTAGTTCCTCCTTGTCTGTCTTCACAGCGCCTCCTGGCCCTGAAGAAATCTGAATGATGAATGAGGTGAGTTGGGAGCAGATAAGGCCTGATTTTGGAAAGAAAACTTTGCAGCCGATAATCCATAGAGCTTTGTTCACCGTCTCTTGGCTTTTCCCCTCCCTGGACCCAGCCTTCTGGGAGAAAAGCAGGGAAGTGGTAATGCTGGCCCCTGCACCCAGGCCAACTGTGCACGCAGAAAGCTAGGAGGCTGGGGCAGGCTGGGCAGAGGCAAGTGCATGGATCCGTCTGCTCCCTGTGTCACGGCCGGATGCGGTAGCGGATGGGCACGTCATGTTCCGGCTGCATCAGACCGAAGCCATACCTGCTGAGGTCAAACTCAGGGATTTCCACATCTGCGTTGATCAGCTCCAGGTCCAAGTGCACCAGCACGAGGAACACAAATCTGCAGAGAGATGGCATGGAAGGTGTGAGGAAGAGGGGTAGGGTGGGGTGCTATCAGGAATAAGGCAGGGATTATTCCTGTGGCTGCCTCCTGAGTCTGACTTCAACTTTGGGAAAAGTGAGAAGAACAGAGGAGCGAGGAAGCAGAACAAAGGCATTTGCTGCTCACCACATTTGCCAGCCCCCTGTAAGGTTAGGCGGGTCCGTGGATGAGTTCTGGTGAGTGGACTGTGTGCAGAAGTGGCCTGTGTCATTTGTGTGTCAAAGCCAGTTTGTGGCTCTCCAGCTGTCCCTCCTGCCTAGCAGCCATGCAGGCTTCACCTTGAGATAGCGGAGCCAGAAGAGGAAAAGAGCCTGGCCCGAGTCTCTGCACAGAGTGGGGAAGCCCCCAAACCCACAGCTGATACCATGAGTGGAACTAAACCCCTGTTGGTAAAAGCCACTGAAGCTCAGCAGGTGCAGAGCTGAGCCTATGCTGATTAATATAGACTCCTCTGGATCCTTCAGCCCACACCCTTCTCCACCCTTCTCCAAACTCCTGGAACCCTCACTGTCTATCCTGGCCAGGGCTGCTGCTCTTAGGTGTCTTTGTGAGGTTAGAAACAGGCAGTGCTCTCTCAAGACATTTTACTGCCATCTCTGAGAACACTGTCCTAACAACTGCTCTCTACTGCCATCTTCTGGGAAAACTGTCATAATAAATATTCAAAGCTGCCATGCCTATGATGTAATCAGTGCCCCCACAAATGTGGAGCCAGCCCTACAGATGTCAGCGGTTGCTGCCTGTCTGCCTCATCTTACCACTGCCTGTGTTCATAAGGGTCAGAGAATATCTTATGACTCTTTTCCCACCATGATTCCCTACCCAGACCCAGGTGCCCGATGCAGGACTCAGCACATGGCAGGGATTCTTTTATCTTACTGAAGGAGTGAAGAAGGGGGAAGATGAGGAGAGAGGGAAGTTAACACTCTGGAAAGAAGATCTGGGCTGTGCCGCTTATGGGGATGTGGCCCTCGCCAAGTTCCTTCTCACTCTGGGTCTCGGTTCTCCCATCTGGTCAAAGAAGGGAAAGACAGGATGGTCTCCTCCAGCTCTGAGGCTGTAGAATACTAGAGGGTGAGTTTCTATGGGATGGCAGTTTTGTGCTAACCCCTGGATTGGAACCTGGTGCCTCCACTTCCCAGGAACATGACCACAGCAAATGGGCTACCTGTCGAGACTCCGTTTTAGACGGACCAGCATGGTCATCGTGACGATTCAGTGAGATAAAAATAACAACAAATTAGCCAATTTATTGGAACACTGTGGGCTATGCACCAGCTAAGCATTTAGTATCTATCGTCTCTTTTTATCTGTCCAAAAACTTGATGAAATAGGAACGCCAGTCGGTTCTGCTCTAACACTTGTTTTGAACAGGTGAATTTGTTCCAATAGGATTGATATATTAGGGCACAATTTGAGTATAATGCAAGTTTCACATTTGCTCATATGCAATTTCACTTGTGAGAAACATGAGATGAATACAAAAAACTGTACCCAGCTGAACCCTGGCTGTGCAGAAATCCAGAAAACATACACATACAGCTAAGCATCAGTCTAGCCAGTTACTACAGCCCTTACATAGTTCTTAGCCAAGTAACATGCATAAAATTTTACTACCATTTTCGACTGGGTTCTTCTTTCTTTTTTTTTTTAATGTGTCACCGATGAGGTTTTTGAGTGTTGGGCCCAGTCCCTCTTTTCCTCTAATCCCTGCAGTTTTGTTTGTTTGATTGATTGGTTGGTTTGCTTTTTTTATTTTTTGAGACAGAGTCTCACTCTGTCACCCAGGCTGGAGTGCAATGGTGTGATCTCAGCTCACTGCAACCTCCATCCCCTGGGGTTCAAGAGATTCTCCTGCCTCCGTCTTCCGAGTAGCTGGGATTACAGGCATGCTCCACCACACCTGGCTAATTTTTATATTTTTAGTAGAGACAGGGTTTCACCATGTTGGCCAGGCTGGTCTCAAACTCCTGACCTCAAATGATCCACCCACCTTGGCCTCCTAAAGTGCTGGGATTACAGGCATAAATCCTGCAGTTTTTGTTGCATGATTTCATACAGCAAAGTGATTTTTAGGAATGCATATGAACTGTATTATGCTCATAATCAACTCCATTTTCTCAAGGAAACTGAGGCCAAAGGTTAATGTAATGTGCCTATTCACGTAGCATAATGCATGCACATTAATAATAGTAATAATTATGATCATAATTAACATTTATCAAATGCCTACAATGAGTCAGGCAGTGGGCTAAGAACTTAGAAAGATCCAACTCATTTATCCTGATACCCCTGGGGTGCAGTTATAATCAGAACCTCTGTTTTACAGTTGGGGAAACAGAGGCTCAGAAGGTTGCCCAGCTTATGATTGCACAGGGCTGGACAGGAGGACAGGGCAGATGTCATAACCCCGGTCCAATCTGTCTGTGAACTTGGTGGCCAAGGCTCCTGGGGTTCAGGGGAGATCATTTATGAGGCTCTTGGCCCCCACAGCCATTAAAATAACCAAGTGGGAACAGTGAAGTTTGGCCAGTTCCTAACATGAGGTTCTGAACACGCAGCAGCAGCTGCAGACGGACAACTACGGTCAGCTGAAAGGAAGGTCCAGTTTTTGGAATTTGTACACCAGTCTTGGCGGGAAGAACCTGCTGCCAGATCTGATTATTTCAAAAGAAATCCAAAATCTGGCTTTTTTTTTTTTTGAGATGGAATCTCACTCTGTCGCCCAGGTTGGAGTGCAGTGTCATGATCTCGGCTCACTGCAACCTCTGCTTCCAGGGTTCAAGCGATTCTCCTGCCTCAGTCTCCCAAGTAGCTGGGACTACATATGCCCACTACCACACCCAGCCAATTTTTGCATTATTTAGTAGGGACGGGATTTCACCATATTGGCCAGGCTGGTCTTGAACTCCTGACCTGCCCACCTCAGCTTCCCAAAGTGCTGGGATTTCAGGCATGAGCCACTGCACCCGGGGCCTGAAATCTGGCTTTTTAAAGTAAGCTCTTCTGATTTTTAAAAGCGCATCGTTGAAAAACCACAAATAAATGATGGCTCACAGGCTGTCTGTGTGGAGCTTCTGCCAAACCATTCTCCTGGCTGACCCCTCAGTCCCAGGAGAGAAGGGCGCATGCCAACCAGACGGACAGGAGCCCCCCTGGCCCCACCCTGGCCCCCCACTCACTGTTTGATGCTGTTGACTGCGTAACTCCTCCCCAGGCAATGATTGTGCCCCGCCCCCCAGGGCATGTTGTAATTCTTCAGCCGTTTCCCATCCTTGTAAAAGTCTTTCTTCTCTGATCCGTCAGGGTTCAGGAATCGGTTGTATTTAAATACCTGAAATAGGAAGAAGGTCCATTTCTGACCCTACTCCCAGAACAAGACTGCACCAAGAAAAATGTATGAGGATGTTCATAACAGTCATGTTTGCAAGAGGGAAAAACTGGAAACCATATATAGGTCAATTGATAGGAGATGGGTTAAAAAAATTATAGAGAAAGGTTTGTGTATACTGACATGGAAAGAATTTCTACAATTGGTTGTTGAGAGAAAAAAAGCAAGTTCTTTTTCCATATGATCCTATGCACACACCAGTCTTTTCATGGCGTGTGAATGTGCTATATGTATGCCTGAAAAGCCGTGAAAACAATTCACAAGGCACACTCCAAACCACGGGTAGAGAACTCTGTAGAACTGGAGAAGGGAAATATATATTTTTTACTTTTAAGTATGTATTTCTCCATATTTCTTTATACTTCATGATAAGTATATATTACTTTTGTCATGTAAAATAAAAGAAATTTAAATAACTTTTTAAAAGAAAATGCCAGTTTCCTTTGGTTACATTGCACAGTGGTAAGGCAAGGATTGTACCTGAGCACAGGGCTTGACTGAAAAATGGGTGGAAGGATAGGTGAATGGACCAGTGGATAGACTAAGAGATGGAAATGTGGATGGAACAATGGATGAATGGAGGGATGGATGAATGGATGGGTAGATGGGGTGGATGGATGGGATGAATGAATGGGTAGACTGATGGATGGGTGGAAGAATGAATGAATGGATGAATGGACAAATGGATGGAAGGATGAGTAGATAGGTGGATAGACAGATAGATGGGTGGATAAGTAGAAGAATGGGTGGATGAATATATGAGTGAGTGGGTAGATAAATGGGTGGGTGGATGGATAAATGAGTAGATAGATGAATGGACGGATGGATAGATGGATGAATTCATGGGTAGGTGGGGGGATGAAAGGGTAGCTTGGTGGGTGAATGGATGGATGGATGGGTGGATGGGTGGATGGATGGATAGATGGGTGGTTGGGTGGATAGATGGGTGGATGGATAGATTAATGGATGGATGGGTGAGTTTGTGGATGGATGAATGGATAGATGGATATATGGGTAGATGGGTAGATGGGTGGATGGATGGATAGATGAGTAGATGGGTGCTGGATGGATAAATGAATGGGTAGATGGGTGAATGAAAGGGTAAATTGGTGGGTCGATGGATGAATGGATGGATGGATGGATAGATGATTGGATAGGTAAATAGGTGAGTGCGTAGACAGATGAATAAGTGGATAGATGGATGCATGAGTAGATGGGTAGACAGATGAATGAATGGATGGATGAGCATGTAGTTTAGAGTCTGACGCACGGTAAGCACACAGTCTGTTAGCAATTGTGAAAGTCTGCATCATCTCAAAGTCTGGGGAGAGAGAAGTGTTGGGAAACTAACCTTATCATGTTCTGAAATAAGGAAAGTGGCTCAGCTATCACGAAGCACTCTGTGAATGAACATCCCCTCATGTTCAAGGTTCCTCAGATACCCTTGAACATGAGGGGATCTGGGTCTGACTCGAAGAGAAGCTGCGAAAAAAGGTAGGAGCCAGAGAGGTATCAGAAGGCTGGGGAGAGACGGGGGCCATCAGTATCTGCTTCTGTATGATCCCATTTCTTCTTCCTTTCAACCTCATGAGGCAGGTGCTATTATGAGGTCCATTTCACAGGTGAGGAAGCAAACACAGAGAGGTGAAGCAATCTGGGCAATGTCACATAGCAAACGAGGGGCAGAGGCAGGCTGCCACTCAGATCTGGCTCATCCCAAAGTCATTGATTTTTCTCCCACAGACCCCATATGACCAGGCACCCCTGGCATTTACCTCTGGGTCTGTGTAGATTTCCGGGTCTCTCTGAGGGCTCAGGAAGGGGAAGAGGAGGAGGCGGTCACCACGTCGCAGGTTGAATTCTCGCCCGTCTGCCATGGGCATGGCCAGGTCCACCACGACCTCACGGGTGATGAAGGGAGCAGCCGTAAGCCTGAGGCTCTCACTCAGCACGCTGTCTGCACGGGGCAGGTGCAAGGAAGGGTCAGCAGGCTGTCCCTTCACCTGCTCATATGCCACCCCCAGCTCTTATTTTACAGAGGAAGATGAAAAGGCTCAGAGAGGGTGCCTGCCTTGCCCACAGTCACACAGCAAAGTGGAAAAGGCCAAATTGATGAGATATGGTCTCTGGTCCCTCAGAGACCCTTGAACATGAGGGTATCCAGGTCTGACCCCAGGAGAAGTTGTGAGGGCAGGTGGGAACTAGGAAGATATCAGAAGGCTGAGGAGAGAGTAGGGTCATCGGTCTCTGTTTCTGCCTGCCTGGCATATATTTCTCTTCTGGAAATGGGCCCCTGATTTTCCTCTAGGGTCCACCCCTCTCTCACTCTCAGGAGTTAGACTGCTGATTCTGAGCTCAACTACTGGGATGGGGCTGTGCCTGGCCAATCAGAGCATCCCTCTGAGCCCTGTGATTGGTTCAGGATGGATACATCACCCAAAGAAAGCCAATGAAACACAGTCCTAGGATTCTTGGTGGGACCATTGTAAGAGATGCAGAATCTCACAGAGCCGGGAGGAAGTCAGCCTTGAGCTGCCAATAGCTACCGCCAGCCTGAGACTGAGGAAACAGTGGGAAACAGGGCTGAGAGGTGGAGAGGAACTGAGTGGTCCTGGTGACATAGTTAAAGTGCCTGGGTCTATCTGTGCCTCAGGCCAGTCCTCTGGATTTTTTAGTGGCATGTCTCAAAGTACCTTTTCACCTCAGCCAATTGAAGTTAGGTTTTCTGTCCCTTGCCTCCTAGCTGACACTGAAGTATGGAGATGCCAGGTGTGTGAAGATAGGAGACTCAGGGAGACCCTAGGTTGGAGGACACTGATGGACCCTGGAAGACAGAAGCCCATGTTGGGGAGAGTTTTGGAGTCCACAATGACACAGTCTTAGGGGCTATCTTGGAGGGTCTGACCATCTCACCAAGCACAGGTGTGCTGTCTAGAACCTTCTGCGGGAGGGTGGTCATCTGCAAGAAAGGCTTCTCTGCTGGCCAAAGGATACTCTCGAGCTCTCCACGGACAGCAGCCAGGGCTTCAGGATTCTTGAGAAGGAAAAGCAGGAGCCAGAAGGCAGCAGGACCCATATTCCCCTGCAAGGAGAAGGGCCCCTGTTATGCCATTATGAGGGCAGAGCTGACTCGTCTCTGCCAGGGACACAGCCCAGGCCAAGACAGAGGGGCCAGTAGGCCTGAGCTCCCACTGCTGCCAAATACCTGGGCATGGCCAGTGTCTATCTCCAGCCTCAGGACGTGTCCAAAACTGCTCTGTGGCCCAAAATACCGACTTCACGCCCACTCGTGGCATCCCTGACTGAGCAAAGTCATGAATCCTAGGTCACACAGGTAATCTCCATAGCTAACCAGCAAGACGGTGTCAGTAATAGGAACAGGCTGTCTCAGTTAAGACCGTTAACATCTGAGAATGATCACGTTGTTGGCCCCAATTCTTCACCAATCCCAGAATCCACACTCCTTACCATGTGACTTCACTGTTCCTCCCAGTGAAGAGCAAGAATGTATTTCCCCTGCCCTTTGAATTTAGGCTCAGCTGTGGACTTACTCTGTCCAATAGAAGAGGCAGAATTGACAGAACACCCACTCTGCACCTAAGCCATGAGAGACTTGGTGTGTTTCCACTGGCCTGGCAAGCCCAGTGATTCCAAGAGAATGAGAGACTCATGGACAGAGCTGAGCTGCCCCACTGAGCCAGACCCACAGGCCCATGAGTTAAATAAATGCTGATGGGTATATGCCACTGAGTTGTGGATGTTTATTATGCAACAATAGCTAACTGGTGCAATATCTAAAGATTTGCTTCCAAATACAATGATTCGCGATGTAGTTTGGGATTCAAAAGTTCCTTATATGCTTTGTATGTTAAAATTCTATGGTCACTTGAATAAATGCGTTGTGTACACATAAAACAAAGCTGCAGTCATCACTGATGACTGTGAAAGCTGTGAATAAAAAATATTTAAACTTCCTAATAGGTAAACACTTAGGAAAATGAATGGAATTTCTTGCTTCAAGGCTCAGTCTTAGCTGAACATTTTCATACACATTTTAGCCTCAGCTCTTTGGTATGTGGCTAAAATGTGTACATGGCACCCTTTAGTGATCCAGAGATGGGTGGAATGCCAACTAATCTCCATTTGGGGTAAGGTTTTTGTCTGCCATGACTATCCTATTCAGTCATAATAATGGAATATTAAGTCATCATTAAATATCATGTTTACCCAGTAATTTCATTACAGACATAATTGCACATGGGCGAAAGGACGTATGCACAAAGATAATTATTGCAGTGCTAACATAATAGCAGAAAGCTGGAAACACCTCCATGTCTATCAAGAGGGGATCAACGAGATAAATGAAGATCCAACCATGGGCTGATGATGCAGGAAGTCACTAAGAAGAAGCTGGCTCTGCGTGTACTGATGCGGGACTGTAGCCAAGACACACGGAAGCATGCAAACAGCAAGGTGCAGGGTGGCGGCTCAGCGTGCTGCCATTTGTGTGTTTGTTTAAAGAGAAATATACATGAAGAAGCACAGACCATTGCTTTTTTTTGAGACAGGGTCTCACTCTGTCACCCAGGCTGGAACTCAGTGGCACAATCATAGCTCACTGCAACCTTGACCTCCTGGGCTCAAGTGATCCTCCTGCCTTAGCCTCCCAAGGAGCTGGGGCCACAGGCAAGTGATACCCAACTAAGTTTGGTTCTTTTGGGTAGAGATGAGGGTCTCCCCATGTAGCCCAGGCTGATCTCAAACTCCTCCTGGCCTCGAACGATCCTCCTGCCACAGCCTCCCAAAGCACAGACTATCTCTAAGAGACACCAGAAACTGGTAACTGAGGTTGCCTTGGAACAGAAGCTGGGAAGACAAGAGCATAGGGCAGAAGGAGACTGACTTTCCTTGCAAATACTCTTTCACACTGTTCAGAATTTTTCAATGGACACATTAATTTTAAATGAAACAGAAGACCCCTAGGCTGGAGTGCAGTGGCGTGATCATGGCTCACTGAAGCCTCCACCTCCTGGGCTCAAGTGATCTTCCTACCTCAACCTCCCAAGTAGCTGAGACCACAAACATGCACCACCATGCCTGGCTAGTCTTTCTATTTTTTTGTAAAGATAAGGACTCACTGTGTTTCCCAGGCTGTATCCAAATGATTTCTATAGTGATGTACGATGTCATGAGAAATGTTCATGTTACAATATTAAACCAGATAGAAGGTTAGATTGAAACAGCTGCATGATCTTAACCACAGAAGAAAAGCATATGGGTAAACGCTGGAAAGAAATGCGCCAAAGCATCAATGATGGTGAGACAGATTTTGTCTTCTTTAGTGCCCATGAGGCCATGAGGCCCCACACTCCTCCGCTCAATACTTCCATCACGCAGGCGCCGTTATTAGTCCTTTTACTGAAAAGGAAAAGGAAGCACTCCCTGGTTGCTACCCACTGCCCACCATATAATGGAGGCTCACTGGTATCTGTCAAATAAACGTCTGTGTCCCTTTAGACCAGGGGTGGAGCCCCAAGACAGCCTGGGAGGTGGGTGGAAAATCCCTGGACTGAGACCACACAGAGTTGGGTCCAAATCCCAGCTCCCCACTTTCTGTGACTGTGGGCAGTTCACATCCCCCTTTGGGTCTCAACACTGGGGGTAACACTGCCACCTCCTGGGTGACCGCAAGGGTCCAGTGAGGCTGAAGCAATCCCATATGTGCTGTGCCCAGAGTAGGTGCTCAGAAGTGGTTACCCCTTTCTCACCGGCACCTACCCTGAATTTGAGAACAAGTCGGGGGGGCCTCGGGCCCTTTCTGAGAGTTCTGCCAGCACCTCAGGTCCAGCTGAGACAGCAAGGTCACTTGCTGTCCATCACTTAAATAGCCAGGCGAATGCGAGTGATAAATAATTCAGCACTGGGTTAGCTCAGCGCCAAGGCCATTTTATCTGGCCCAGGTGGTCAGATGGGGGCCACCACTCACTAATTACCAAGCAGGAGTGGAACACATGGGTGCTTGGCTATCTCTGCTTGCAGGAAAAAGCTGTGGCAAGTTAAGGAGGTGACCAAGACCACCTTCCATCCAACTGCACAGATGTGAGTGTGAGCGTGCGTGTGCGTGCATGCAGCCATAAGAGATACTGAATTCACCACCCTGGAATTCGAGCTCTCGCCCATGGAGCCTTGCCTCTGTTTATCAGGAAGTTTCTCGTTTGTCCTCATTCCCTCCTACTGCAGCCAAAGGCCATGACCCAGCAGTGATACCTCCTGTTCTAGCTTTCCTGTGAATGTCGGTGGCTGACCTCTGGGAGTCACTGACTGCGGGCCAGAACACGCCCTTGTCGACTCGCATGCTCCATCTTATTACCTCCTGACCACACAGCCCATCGGTGGGAGTGGGGGACACCCACTGTCTGAGTCTGCCCTGCACCTGTAACAGCACCCCGCTTTCCTTCACAGAACCACCTCCTCTTAAATCCAAGTCTGTGTGGGTCATCCAGGGCTGACCCATCCTTCCAGACTTCAACTGTGGCCATGGGACCCAGGCAGAGACACTGAGTGATCCACGCAGAGGGGACGTGTGAGGGGGCTGGGCCAGTATCAGGCGTGGGAGCTGTACTAGAATTTAGCGGAAGGGGAGCCCTCCTTCACAGGGATTGCTAAATTGCCTGGAGCTGCTGGAGGGCATCATAGCCACCCCCCAGGGCAAACCCTCTGAAGATGCAGCCCAGCAGAAGGGAGAGCTGAGGGATGGGGCCCGGATGGTGTTTCTTTTAATTTTTGTGATTTGAAAAATTCCAAGGGAAAAAAAGAATATGTGATGACGACGTGTTAGTTTAGGTCATAAATTGTAACAAATGTGCCACTCTGCTGAGGGGCACTGGCAATAGAGAGGGAGGCATTGGGAGAAGCAGGGTAGGGGAGATCCCTGCACCTTTCCTTCAACTGTGCTGTGAACCTAACCCTGCTTTAAAGATAGAGTCTATTTAAAACGAACAAAAGCCCTACGCGCAGTGTGGGATCCTGGATGGGCTCCTGGAAGGGAAATAGGATGTTAGTGGGAAAACGGGGGACATGTGAATAAAGTACGGACTCTGGTTACTAACAATGTCCCAGCGCTGATTCTCAGTCTTGGTCAATGTATTGCGGTTATGTGACATCAGGGAAAGCTGGGTGAAGCGTATCTGGGAACTCCCTGTACTATCCTTGCAACTCTTTTATAATCTAAAATTATTTCAAGATAAAACTACTGAGGAAGAAAACAAAACAAAACCCCCAACCCTCTTTACAGATGGTGAAACTGAAGCCCAGAAGGGTGACTTGTTTGAGGTCACACAACTAGTTTAGCGGCAGGTGTGAGTTTCCAGCCAAGTCTATCTGACTCTAAATACTGTGGTTTTGCTTTCCACTCTGTTATCAAACGCCTCAAGGGTTCTTCCTCATGATCACTATCTCAGCGCCGCTCTCTGCAGGCCCAGCAGCTCCCCTGCTCACCTCCCCTACCTCTCAGGACCACCCAGGAGTTTCCAGGGCTGTGTGGCTGTGGCTGCTGAGGATATGATGGAGTGAAGGCCAAGCCAGATATGGGGAAGGAAGAGAAGGACAGGATGTGACTGATGGTGCTGAGGGAGTCAAGCATCATGACTCTCAGTCCTGGTATTACCAGCATTAGTGAGCTCAGAGCTGGGAGGGAAACCTGTCCTGTGTTTGGAAACTCTCCTCCAACTGCCCCCCACCACCCCATCCCACCTTCCCTTAGAGCCTCCTCTTCTCCCTGCCTGGGCCTTAGGTCTCCACCCACAGGGTCCTACCTGGATGCCCAAGCCTCCCTCTGCCCCTTCCATCACTCTAGCTCCCAGGCTCGGGGGTTCTGGATTCATGGAGCTGTTGTGAAGATCCTAGAGATAACGTTTGCAAAGGGCTCGACAGGATGCTTGGCCGAGGGGAACTGCTCAGTATCTTTTGAGATTATTATTCCTGACTCATCATCTCTGACCTTACAGCAGCAATCACAGCTACCATTTCTCAGCCTCTCAGCAGCATCTGACTCAGCTTCCCACTCCTGGCTCTCCCCTGCCCTCCCTGGCCCCTTCCTCCTCACCTCTCTCAACATTGGAGAGCCCCGGGGATGCCCCCTTCTCCACCCACCCTCACCCCCAGTATCTCCTTCAGTCCTGAGGCTTTAAACTTCTCTCTGCTGACAACTTCCAAAGGTACAGCTCAGCCTCAACCTCAGACTCCAACTCCAGACACTTCTCCAAGTGTCCACTCCTCCTTCTCCATCTCAAATTCAACACACCCAAAGCCAAAGCCCCAATCTTCTCCCTGAAACTTGCTCCTCCCACCATCTTCCTCATCTGCCCATGGCCTTGCCATCCCTCCTGTCACTCAGGCCCAAAACTGGAGTCATCCTTGATGGCCTCCCCCACAGTCCCATCCAACACCAGATCCTGTTGGCTCTACTTTGGAATATGCTCAGAATCAAACCACCCCCCGACCCTGGCCCAGCACCACACTCTCTTGCCGCGATCCTGCAGTGGCCTCCTCCCTGCTCTCTCCGCCTCTGCTTCCCCCACTACAGTCTCTTGTCACTGCTGCAGCCAGAATGATCCCTCTAAAGCATAAGACAGACCAGGTTTTCCCTCTGCTCAGAGCCCTCAGCAGGTACCTCTCTCACTCAAAGTAAAAGCCAAAGCCCGCCCCAAGGACTACAGGGCCCTGTGTAGTCCAGCAGCTCTACCTCCCCACCATGTCACCCTCAGTCCTGCCTCAGGGCCTTTGCACTTGCTGCCCCCTGCCTGCGAGCCTTCACTCTATGTATTTACATGGCCCACCCCTCACTTCCTTCAGTCTCTGCTCAGATGTCACCTTTCAGTGAGGCCTTCCTGGACCATCCTATTTAAAATAGCCCCTCCTCACTCCTCTCTGCTGTTCCTTTCTCCTGCTGCACCTCTTCTCCATAGAACACATTCTCTCTAATCCTCGTTTTGTTTTTCTGAGACAGAGTCTTGCTCTGTTGCCCAGGCTGGAGTGTAGTGGTGCGGTCTCGGCTCACTGCAATCTCTGCCTCCCGGGTTCAAGTGATTCTCCTGCCTCAGCCTCCTGAATAGCTGCAAACACAGGCGTCTGCCATCATGCCCAGCTAATTTTTGTATATTTAGTAGAGATGGGGTTTCACCATGTTGGCCAGGCTGGTCTCGAACTCCTGACCTTGTGATCCGCCCGCCTAAGCCTCCTGAAGTGCAGTGATTACAGGCATGAGCCATTGTGCCCGACCTAATAATTTTTTTTTTTTTTTTTTTGAGACAAGAGTCTCACTCTGTCACCCAGGCTGGAGTTCAGTGGTGCCATCTTGGCTCATTGCAACCTCCACCTTCCTAGTCCAAGTGATTCTCATGCCTGAGCCTCCTGGGTAGCTGGGATTACTAGTGTGTGCCACCATGCCCAGCTAATTTTTGTATTTTTAGTAGGGTCAGGATTTCACCATTTGGCTAGGCTGGTCTCAAACTCCTGATCTCAAGTGATCAGGCCGCCTCAGCCTCTCAAAGTACTAGGAATACAGCTGTGAGCCACTATGCCTGGCCTCTAATACATTTTAGATGCTTACTTGTTTATTTACTTATTTATTTTTAAGACAGGGTCTCGCTATGTCACCCAAGCTGGAGTGCAGTGGCACCATCATGACTCACTGCAGCCTTGACTTCCTAGGCTCAGGCAGTGCTCCTACCTCAGCCTCCCAAGTAGCTGGGATTATAGGTGCATACCACCACGTCCAGCTTGTCTACACAACATATTTTTTGTAGAGGTAGAGTGCTGCTATGTTGCCCAGGCTGGTCTTGAACTCCTGGCCTCAAATGATGTTCCTGCCTAGCCTCCGAAAGCATTGGGATTACAGCTATGCGTTTATTAATTGTCTATCTTCTCCCACCAAAATGCTAGCTCCCTAAGGGCAGAGATTTTTGTCTGTTTTGCTCACTGCTCTATCCCCAGCTTCTAGAATGAGGCTTGGCATGCAGTGGGCGCTCTAAATGTTGGTTGAAGATGTTTATTGAGCACTTATTACCTGCAAGGTATAGTTACAAAACTGCACATGTATCATGGCTCCCTCCTTTCATCTTCACAAGCATGTCTTGAAGTGGGTGCTGCCATCCCCATTTTACAGATGAGTAAACTGAGGTGCTCAGAGGCTAAGTGACTGACTTGCCAGGAAGTGTCAAAGTCAGGACTCAAATCCAGGCAGGGAGGTCACGGAGCCTGAGCCAGAAACTCCGGGGCCAAGTACCCTCTTGGCTCTGCTCCCAAAAGGCTCTTGAAAAGTTTTCCCACCTGCCTGAATTCTGGACACTGTCAACGACTCAACCTCAGAGGACATCTTGTCCCCAGCTCCTGCCCAGCTTTCCTGACCCTGCCAAAGGCTGTTCCCTGGCCTTAATGCCACTCAAGCCCCTCAGCCAGCATCCAGTTTTGCTGACACAGGTCATTTCCACAAGGAGTTCTGGGGACAGTCTGGAGCTCCGAGTCATCTCTGCACATAAATATGTTATTAGGCACTGATGTGGGAGACAACTGCCAGTTAATCCCAGCCCCCACCCCTTGCCAGTCTCTGCCTGCAAGGACAGTTAATGGCTCTGAGAAGAAACTAAAAATAAGCTGCAAGTCGATGGGAGAGGAATTACCCAGAAATGTCAGCCTGTGCAACTGTCACTGTCGAAGTGGGGCCAAGAGGAAGATGGGGGGCTTGGAGATCAGGAGTGAGGCAGGAACCGAGCCTGGAGCCCTGCACCATCCAAGGCTGCCCCCTTTCTTTCACTCCAATATCTGGCCCATGACCAAACCCACTGACTCTGTCTTCCTGAAATTTCCAAAATCTATCCCCGTCCTCATCACCTCCGTGGCTGCTACCTGATCCTGTCACCACCGTTTCCTCCTTGGTGACCTGTTTTTGCTTTTGCCCCCGAGATCCTGTCCCTCCTCTGCTCGGAACTCTCCTAGGCCCCCATCTCATCCAGAGAAAAATCCCAAGTCCTCACCTATGAGGACCCACGAGGCCCCCATATCACAACCACACAGGCACACTTGCACACACCCACTCGCACACTCACGCCCACCTGTGTGGCCCACAGCTGCAGCACCAGGGCCCGTGCCTGCATCTCCTCTGACACATCCATCTCCTCCAGGTGCAGTAGGTAACTCTCCAGCCATTTGCTCCGGTGGGCCCTCGTGGCCAGCCTGGCTGGGGACAGCAGCTTCCACAGGTGACTTTTGACATTGGACATGTGGTCCTTGTCTCCTGCAGGGGCAGAGAACAGAGTAGGGATTACAGATTTAACATCACACCCAGGGCTGGCCAGGCATGACCTCCTATGAGGCCAAGGGTCTTCTGAATGTCACTCCTTGAGGGTGGGGAATTCCTGTGGGAAAGAAGCTGCAGGGACAGGCCTGCAGTGGGAAGCCCTTTCAATACCAACTTGCTTATTATCTGTCTTACCCACAGTAGAAGGCAGCAAGGGGTCTTGTCTCCTGCTGGTGGAAGCCCTATTTCAATCACCTCTATGTCCCCAGCACCCGGCCTGTAGCAGGTGTTCAATAAATAAATATGCATTGTATTAGTCTGTTTTCATGCTGCTAATAAAGACATACCTGAGACTGGGTAATTCATTTATTTATTTTAAAAAGTGGTTTAATGGACTCAGAGTTCCAGGTGGCTGGGGAGGTCTCGTAATCATGGTGGAAGGTGAAAGGCACATCTTACATGGCGGCAGACAAGAGAAAATGAGAGCCAAGCAGAGGGGACACCACTTACAAAATCATCAGATCGCATGAGACTTATTCACCACCAGGAGAACAGTATGGGGGAACCACCTCTATGATTAAATTATCTCCTGCAGGGTCATTCTCATTATATATGAGAATTATGGGAGCTACAATTCAACATGAGATCTAGCTGGGGACACAACCAAACCATATCATACATTAAGTAAATGACATTTCTTTCCTGGGCAGGGGAAGGAACACTAAACCGTGAGCAGCATTCTCTCTCCCCAGGGTCCAACTCCAGAGCAATGCCAGCCCATGTGCCTGAGGACGAGGCCACTGTGAGCAGGCTCAGCACAGCAGCAATCACAGAAAGACAGCAGCAACAACCTAACTGATCCTCCAGAGAGGGCAGATGAGTCTGGAGTCTCAACTCACTCACTCCAGTGAAAACAAATCAAGTAAAAGAGAGAGGGGGCCAGAAAGGGGCCATGGTACTTAGCCCAGCGACCAGCCCCCGGCAGGAGAGAGAAACTCACCCCAGCATGGCCAGAAGACCTGTGCTTTCAAAGAAAGCTAACAATCCAGATGATTATGTATAACCTTCTGATGTTTTTTAAGGCTAACATCCAAGTAAAAAGTTTTTAATCACTGTGCAGACCACAAAAGCGTCTCTGAAGGTCAACTTTGGCCCACAGATCACTAGCGTGCAATCACCACGAAACAGACATTGTGTGCGTATGTTCTGGAAAAACCATACAGCAGTGAAAGTGAATGAGCTCATTTTACATACAGACACAGACTTCCCACGGGCAGACTGGCAAGGGGGTAAAGCCGGGCACTGAAGAATGATACTATTTACATATTGTTTTCTTTTCATTTCCTTTTTTAAAAAATATTTTCATGAACGATACATGAGACAGTATATATTGTTTTTAAAACTCCAAGGTAATGCTGTTTATATGCATAAATATAAAGTTTAAAATAAAAATATAAAATACAGAATTTGGTTTTCTCCAAAGTCACCCCTTGGAAAAGTGAGTCACCTTGGATTGCTCCAAAGTTTCAAAGTACTGGAAACTCCCTCACTGACTCTTTTGAACCACAAGCCATGCTTCAGGAAGACTCCCCCCACCAGTGATTCTAAACCTGGCTGCACATCACAGGGCGTTTGAAAGGGTGGGAAATGTAGGCTATGGGTTTTTTTAAAGTCTCTTGGCTTCATTTTCAAACAATATGCTGAATATGTTTAACTTTTAGACTTCAACTTAAGCTCATTGTTTTACACTAAAATGAACGTCACCATTTCGGGTGACATTTCAATGTAAGGCAATGAGCTTAAGTGTTCAACTGAAATACATTATCTTCCTATGTTTCCCAACTTTTCAGGCTCTCTGAAGAATTACCTGGGAGCTCTTAAATCTCTGGATGCCCAGGTGCCAACCCCTGGGCAGACTGATCATGTCAGAATCATGTGGGTGGAAACTGAGCATCCAGAGATTTAAACAGGTGCCTGCAGGGCACAGGCAGTGTTGAAACCACCTCAGTTGATGCAAACTCTGGATACTTCTAAGCATGATCTGAGAGATGGCTAAAAAAAAAAGACGCAAAGAAATTTAACACAGCTTTAGAAATAAACGGCGTTCTTTGAGGTTTGACCACACAGCTGCAATCTTGAGTATCACTGTAAACACAGTGTTTAAGGACGACTTTAAAAAGCAAGGCAGGACCATTCTCCGCTTTTCCCCTGTGCCTAGAGCAGTTCTGAGTGCATAGGAGGTACTCAGTATTTGCAGAATAAATGAACAATGAAGCAAAAAAAGGTATTGCAGTACGAAAATACAGCTGACAGAATGTGAGAAAATATTTGCAAATAATATATCTGATAAGTGTCTAGCACCCAAAATATATAAAAGAACGCGTACAACTCAACAACAATTAAATTAAAAAAAACAACCTGATTCAAAAATGGGCAAAGGACTTGAACAGACACTTCTCCAAAGAAGAGATACAAACGGCTGATCAACACATGAAAAGATGCTCAACACCGTTAGTCATTAGAAAAATGCATATCAAAGCCAGAGTGCGACACCACTCACAACCATGAGGATGGCTGCTAGTTAAAAAACAGAAAATAAGTGACGCTGAGCACCTGGAGAAACTGGACCCCTCATGCATTGCTGGTGGGAATGTCAAATACTGCAGTTGCTGTGAAAAAGAGTTTAGCAGTCCCTCAGAAAGTGAAAGAAAGAATTGTCATATGATCCAGGAATTCCGATTCTAGGTACGTACCCCAAAGAACTGAAACCAGAGACTCAGACAGACACTCGAGCACCAGTGTTCACAAAAGCATTATTCACAGTTGCCAAAAGGTGGAAACAACCCACGTGTTCATCGATAGGTGAATGGATAAACAGAATGCAATACATGCATGCAACATATTATTATTCAGCCTTAAAAAGGAATGAAATTCTGACACATATGCCAGGCTTGGTGGCTCACGCCTGTAATCCTAGCACTTTGGGAGACCAAGGTGGGCAGATTTCCTGAGCTCAGGCGTTAGAGACCAGCCTGGGCAACATGGCGAAACCCTGTCTCTACTAAAATACAAAAAAAAAAAAAGAAAAGAAAAAGCTGGACATGGTGGCGCATACCTGTAATCCCAGCTACTCAGGAGGGTGAGGCAGGAGAATTGCTTGAACCCAGGATGTGGAGGTTGCAGTGAGCCAAGAGCACACCACTGCGCAGCCTGGGTGACAGAGCAAGACTCTGTCTCCCCCAGCCCAAAAAAAAAAGAAAAGAAAGGAAAACAATAAAAGAAATTCTGACAAATACTACAACATGAACGAACCTTGAAAATATTACGCTATGTGAAATAAGCAGACACAAAAGGACAAATATTGTATGATGTCCCTTATATGAGATTCCTAGAGCAAGAAATTCAGAGACAGAGAGAAGATACGATGGGCTGGGAGGAGAGGCAGGTGGGGAATTATGGGTTAATGGGCACCAAGCTTTCGTTTAGGATCATGAAACGTTTCTGGAAATAGATAATGGCATGTTATGCAACTTTGTGAATGTGTTTACTGCCACTGAACTGTACAATTAAAGTGGTTAAATAGCATATTTTATGTTATATATTATTTTACCACAATTTTTTAAAAAGATCAAATGAACGTCATTTGGCAAATGAGTCAAAGATAGTGTTGTATAATAAAGAATTAGAATTCTGGCTGGGCGTGGTGGCTCACACCTGTAATCTCAGCATTTTGGGAGGCCAAGGTGGGCAGATCACCTGATGTCAGGAGTTCGAAAGCAGCCTGGCCAACATGGTGAAACCCTGTCTCTATTAAAATACAAAATATTAGCCTGGCGTGATGGTGGGCACCTGTAATCCCAGTTACTCGGGAGGCTGAGGCAGGAGAATCGCTTGAACCCAGGAGGTGGAGGTTGCAGTGAGCTGAGATGGAGCCGGGGTGACAGAGCGAGACTCCATCAAAACAAAACAAAAATAATTTGAATTCCAAGGTTTCAGTTACCCATGGTCAACCATGGTCCAAAAATATTAAATGAAAAAGTCCGGACATAAACAGTCATAAGTTTTAAATTACATGCTCTTCTGAGTAGTGTGTTGAAATCTTGTGTCATCCTGCTCTGTCCTGCCTGGCAAAAAACACAGGATAAAAATGTAGCAGTGGGCAGGGTGCCGTGGCTCACTCCTGTAATCCCAGCACTTTGGGAGGCCAAGATGGACAGATTACCTGAGGTCAGGGCTTTGAGACCAGCCTGGCCAACAGGGTGAAACCCATCTCTACCAAAAATACAAAAATTAGCTGGGCATGGTGGCAGGCACCTGTAGTCCCAGCTACTCAGGAGGCTGAGGCAAGAGAATCATTTGAACCCAGGAGGTGGAGGTTGTAGTGAGCTGAGATTACTCCACTGCATTCCAGCCTAGACAACAGAGCAAGACTCTCTCAAAGACAAAAGATATATAGCAGCGATTAGATTGTGGATCAAATCAGTTTACATTTGTATGTCCCTTAGAGCAGTGCAGGGGACACACTAAGTTACTTACCCAAGATTTATCTACTGCTATGATATATTGTTAGGACAAAGCAAGTGCCAGCAACCACGTGTTTAGTACATTTGTGTAAAAAGAGGAAAATAAGAATATAGTCACATTCACTTGCACTTGCATGAATGAACTCTAGAAGGATCCACTTGAAGCTAATAAAACTAGTCAATTATGAGCAGTGGGAATTGGTGGAAGGGGTGTGACAAGAAAAGGAAGGAGACTTACTGCTGTTAATTTTTTCCAGCCTAACTGAGGTATAATTGACAAATGAAAATCCTAAGTTGTACACCATGATGTTTTGATATACACATGGTGTGAAATGATTGTCACAATCAAACTAATCAGTATATCCATCACGTCACATAGTTACATGCACACTGGTGAGTGTGTGTAACTTAAGATCCACTCTGGTAGTAAATTTCAAGTATCGATACATTGTTATTAACTGTGCTCACCATTTT